CTTACAGTAATCTCCAGTATTGACAGTACATCAAAAATAGTTCCCTGAAGAATAAGGCTAATTTTCTAACCCAGTCAACCCCCGCTTTGAAGTCTGGATTGGGATGGTGATGGAAAAGTTTCTGCAAAGGTTGAAGTACTGAGCCTTAAAGCATTCTTTATTCTTCCAGTATAATGATGGCAAATCTACCCTCTCTCATTTCAATCTCTTGAATAAGTCCCTAAAGCAGAAATAGGCAGTTTCACCTTCCTGTGCTTAACTCTTTCAGTGCCTTTCCCCTCCTAGGTCTTGTCCAACTGCCATTAATGACATCTTATTTCAAGATTTTGATTAATCTTACAGAAGTAGAACCGTTAGCGAGGTCTTTCACTCCCAGAAGTGCATTTCTTTTGTGTACATAGTAGGTTCTTGTTACTTAATGAATTACACCCAGTGTTTGAAGGGGGAAGACATGCAGGGTTGGGCAGTCCTTGCAATACTGAAAAGCTGGCCATAGTCCTGCTTGAGGAGGGAGGTCCTGTTCAGCGGGCCAGCAACAGCTGTGTCTTTTTTTCCCATGTGAGAAGGTTCTGCAGCCCCTGCCTGGCTCTTCTGAAGGTGCTGAGATGGTAAGGTCTTGCTGAGTCCTCACCTTCCACAGCTGCCCTCAGCCCAGCTTTGCCTTGCCCTCTGTGTGCTGGCTCTGGTGCACTAGTGGTACAAAACCATCAGCACTAGCTCCCCTCCTGGTTTTGTGCTCTGCTTGCATCGGGGAGGATGAATCAGAAGAGGTGATGTGGCCTTTGTGATGTTTTGTCTCTGCTGGATGGGGCTTTGAGCGACCTGGTCTTGTGGGAGGTGTCCCTGCCCATGGCAGGGGGTTTGATCTTTAAGGTCCCTTTCAATCCAAACCATTCTGTCATTCTGTGACTGTCCCCTTCTGCTGTAGCTTCTCCACAAAATAGTCAGTTGGTGGTTTTGTGACTACTTTGCTGTTAGCAGCGCCCTAGCACTCACTGAGGGGCACTGTCTTCAGATGTGACACAGAAACAATGTGGTCTCATAAATCATCACCTCTAAATACCGAGTCTGATGTTTTATGAAAGTGTAATGACACCATGGGCTAACTCTGTGTGTGGGGGAGGGTTTGGAAGTTACCCTCTTTTCCCCTTCCAAAATGGAAATTGTCGTCTTCACCAGCATGCCCCTCTCCATATTGCCTCTTTTCCCTGCTTTCGTGACAACCTCTAAGTGTGCATGATTAAGGGTGGCTGCTGAGGATCACAGTAGGGTTCAGGCAGGTCTGTAACAACCAGTGCCCTCATGCACTGGAGTGTTTGTGGGTGTCGTGTCAGTTTGATTCACTGGACTTCTCACACTGGGCCCTACATCTGCCCTTCCAGCTCTGTGTGAGGCTGTGTCTCTCTTGGTACTGTAATTTTAATGGAGGAAACAAGGAGAAAACAAAACAGAAGAACCATAATAACCTTAGTAATAAATAAAATTCAGATCAGTCCTTCTCATTAGCAGGCCAGAACATACCTGCTATCAATCTGTTGCAAAGTTTATGACTCTCAGTGGTTGGAGGGACACAGATAATTATTCAGGTATAAGACAGCCTGTCTCTACAGTGATGCTCTCTGCACTCTGAAACTTTAGGATCTACTAATAAAGATAATTATTTTATCAAAGTTCATTTAAATGCGGACTAGAGTAAGTCAATGTGGATAGCAGTATGGGTTGTGTTCTTTGCGTGGTGTTTCTGCTGGTTTTGCTGAAGGGCACATTGGATATGGAAAACCAAAAAGAAATAGGTTCTGAGCTGGGTAAGAAAATACTAACTCCCACAGCTTCCAGTTCAGGCAATAAGGTGGAAAGCAAGAGGCTGCCAAGCTGAATGAATTAACTCACTTGTAGTAAGATGCTGAAGACACTCCCTTGCCAACTTCTGTCAGTAGGGATGTCTTACTGGCTATAGCTAAGATTCAGTTATGGAAATAAGAGCCAGCGTATAGATTTTTCTCTCTTTTGCATATGTATCTAGAGGATAGGAATCTAAGGATAAGAGAGAGCTCCGAATGATTCATGAATATACTGGATATTTAAATGAGCGACGAAAAATATTTAGGGAACTCTGTGGCTATCTTCAGATTAGGAAAAAGTTATGGTAGTGTCTGAGGAATGTTGTTGGAGATGATTGTACTTCACGGATGAGCACACTTTTGGACAGCGGGAGGAGAATAAACGAGCCCTCAACATGAACATGCTCATGCCTTGGGAAGGAACTGAAAGTAGAGGAAAGAGTCAGTCTCTTATAATACACTGGCTGCTTTTGTGGGATTAAATTGCCTTTAATCAGCTCCCAAAGTGCTGCACCTGGTATTTCTTTCCGCTTCTGCTGAACATAAAACATTTGGATAATTGTGTGGGCTGCAGAGCTGTGTAAAGACAACAGTTCCCTAATATTCTTTGCAGGGGGTAGAGTATTAGTGTATCTATCTCTGGCCACGGAGGTTCCCAGAAGAGTTAGTGTAGTGCTAAAGCTTTTAAGGAAAATATGTATTGCTTGCAATAAGATTCAGCACCTTTTTTGGTTTTATGGGGAGTAAAAATTTAATGCGCTTGCCTGTGTAAAATGCTGTCTGTGCTGACCATCCCCTTTCTGCTTCGGTCTAGTCCAAAATCGGTTTGCAAAGTGATGCTCGGGGTCAGTTTGAATGAATGGTGTGATCTCCCATGCTTTAAACAGTATTACTGGAACTGTAGGAACCTGAGATCTGTGCTGTATTCTTCATGGGCACCGTCTGTAATAAGAGATATGGAAGCTTAATGTCTCCATCTCAGCTAGAAGGTCTCTTCTTCTTTGTGGGCTTGCTGAGATTTTCATAACACCAGTAAGTTCCCAGTAAAGGCTTTTCAGACCTTGTTACTATTCAGGTGGCAAGGCAAGCCCTACCTTTATAATTTCTTTTCCCCACTGGAAGAACAAGGATTCTTTTATAATCTTGCAGAGGATGGTATAAGGATGCTTTGCTCGCTCTAAGTTTGTGCATGGTTAATAGTAAGTTGTGGAACTTAATTGTCAGATCTGACGGATGCAGCAGCCTGAATGCTTCTGGTGGCTAAAATTTAAAGGCTGGTGTATTGCTCCAGCTGTGGTCAACGTGAGCAACATGCACGGACTTCACGTGCCTGGTCTTGTGCACTCACACTGTACTGACTGTTGGAGTTAAAGGGCAGAGAACATTAAGAGTTCACAGACAGGAGAAGGCCAACAGGCTTCCAGTACCAATCGTGATTTAAAAATCAAGTACATGTGTAGCCCCTGAATGAGCAGAAATGCTCCAGAAGTGTAGTTATTTATCTGAAAAAATGTCTCAAATGACACTATGGGGTGTCTCACTGGATGTTGTGATGGTTTCCAGAACTAGCTTTCTTGCTATGAACACAGACAGGGGAGAGAAACGATGCTGGCAAATCTGAAGTTACAGTTTGGAGTTTGAATGAATACAGGGTTGGGGTTTTCTTAGTTCTTTTGCCCAGTGGATGGCCAAAGTTAGAGCTTTTCTTGCATCAGTTTGTTCCCCGTATTGTCAGTAATGGCCTTGGTGATTCCTGCTCTCCTTCATTGTCATTTCTTGACCAGGTATGAGCCGTTGGGCTGGGTTTGGTGCACAAGAGAAAGGGAAATGGATCACCTTTCCTTGTATTGTGACAGGAAAAACACAGAGGTTCGAAATTATGATTCAACATGGAAATGAGGAGGAAGAGATCTTCTCACAGTGAAATTTCTTAATGGACTTTGGAAACCTTCAAAAGCAGTGTTACGGTTTTCTGTTAATAACCCATTTTGAGCAATGGAGAATTAAAATATGCAGATGAGTACATTATCACAGCTAGGAAATGAAGTTGGGACAGACTGGAAAGCATCTCTGGGTGGCACGGATGTTCAGCTCCGTGCTGCACCATCTATAGAGGGGGGGCACCAGACAAGCCTTCCCCGAGCACGAGTGTCGGTGACATGAGAGCAGGAAAAAAAGCTGGGTTTCCTCATGGGATAATGGCATAATGGCCCCTTCCTTTGATCAGCAAGGCAGCAGGCATTCCTGGGAGCACTGAGTGCCAAATGTCGGATGTTGTACACGAAGCGTATGCGCCCTGTGCCATCTGGGAGGTGGGCTCTGGGAAAGGGGACACTCTGAGCTGGTGTAAGCTGCTACCACCGCGTTGCTGAAGGTCTGGGGCAGGTAAAGTTTACGGCGGCTGATGGTCTGCCCGGGTTCATTATGGTGGAGGGATGTCTAGGATTTCGTTTTCTACGGTACTTGCACCATACCCGTCTCCTTTTCCCCTTAAGAGTCGGTCAAAACAAAGCCCATTTTAAAGGAAATGAATGTAGAAAATGTGAAACGTAAGGATCTTTTACAAAGCGTCTTTTACAGCGCTGGGGACATAAAACAGGGCAGTGGAAGATAAGCCATTATGTATGTTGAGGAAGTCTAAGAATAAAGATTATAGGCAAACAGTCTACCTTTCTTTACAAGGCCTTGATTTACATCCCTGAAATCTCAAATTTAGGTATTACAATGAAGTCCTGTTGCACACAGAGCTGACTTTTTATCACCACTTAAAATCTAATTAATCCGTATTGAAGCACAAAGATTTCTGTTGTGTTTTAGGGTGAGGGGTCATAGAGCCCTCTTTGTTCATCCTCAGGCTTGTAATCATCAGGCATTGGGATATAATTTTACCAAGCAAATTGGAAGGTAACAGATCAAATCCTTATCGGAAAGCCTAACTCATGGTTTAGCAAAGTCCTTCGTCCTTTATGTGAAACTTTATATTCGCCAAGAACAAAAAAGTGTTTCAGGGCTTACAAAGGGTTAAGGGCGAGGGCTTATATTTGGGGCAGCAGAGAACTAAAATCATCACAGCTTCCACCATCGCTCGAGGTAGCAGTTGGTCGAGACCTGCCGGGGGGAGACCCTTCCTCCTTAAGTTTTTAGGGCTCCGCTCTTAGAATGGCCTTGGTCTATCGGCCAACGATGCAGTTGAGTGGCCTCCTCTTCTCTCTGCTGGGATGGGTCCTGTCCTGTCTCACCACCTACTTACCCCAGTGGAAAAACCTCAACTTGGAACTGAATGAACTGGAGATCTGGACCATGGGACTCTGGCAAGCTTGCGTTGTCCAGGAAGAAGGGGGAATGCAGTGCAAGGACTTTGATTCTTTCCTGGCTTTGCCTCCAGAGCTCAGGATTTCTAGGATTTTGATGGTTTTTTCCAGCGGATCGGGGCTTTTGGGCCTCTTGCTCTCGGGCTTTGGGTTGGACTGTTCTAAAATCGGTGAGAGGCAACAGGAACAAAAGAAACGGCTGTTGCTGTTTGGAGGAACGCTCTTCTGGCTATCTGGGATTACAGCTATCGTCCCGGTTTCTTGGGTTGCCCATTCCACAGTCCAGGAATTTTGGGATGAGAACATACCAGATATTGTTCCCAGGTGGGATTTTGGGGAAGCCCTATTTGTTGGCTGGTTTGCTGGGTTTTGCCTTATACTGGGAGGATCCCTCCTTAATTGCACGATCTGTTGGCCCGAAGTCCATCCGTCCTCGAGCCGTTACGCGGTGGCAGAAGAGCGAGATCGGTGTCAACACTCGGAAACTGAGACTGGGCCTTAAAAACATGGAAGGGTTTAAGTGGTACAGAAAGACTTGCCCCTATCTTTTTCAGACTCCAGCGTGAGCCAGAAGCTTGTTCCAGTAGGAATTCAAAGGACTCTTTGTTGCCCAGCCCATTTCCTAAACTTAACGTCCGTTTTTCTTCCCCAACCAGTGTGGGAAGGCGGTGTGTTTTCCCACCTGCAGAACTGTTTAATTAAAACTCTTGTTTCACAGCAGAACGCTGAAGTTTTCATAGACTGGGCAAAAGAAAAAAAAAAAAAAAAGGTGCTTGTGCTTTCTCAACTGCACCGTAAAATCCTGTAAATGAATATGCATGTTCCCTTCCAGCTTGGCTTTTCACCAAAATGTGCTTCCTTTTCCTATGTAACCCATTAAATGAGCCTCAAAGCTTGACTCCCTGGTGCAATTTTCCGCTGACGTACAAACCGCAGCGTTTTCAGGTCCTGAACAGGCTAAATACATGCTAAATACATGTTGTTCTGTGTGCTTGGAAATCGTGGTGCTGAGAAACCCCTAGGTTTCCAAAATGCTCTGCGGGTGTCTCTCTGTGCAGGGGGCGTTACGGGGCGGGAGCTTTGGAGTTGGGTCTTTCCCAGTCTTGTGCTTCAAGCTGCCTGGACAAGTTATTCCCAGGGTTTCTGGCACCTGCCTGACTTCAGGCACAAAAAGAAAGAAAGGAAAAAAAAAAAAAAAAAAGGCTGTCAAACTCTGCTTTAGAAATACTTTTGCTATCTTCTGTACAGGTCCTAAGGCATTATGCACCCTAGGAAAGGCTCCTGAGCTCTGTGTGGCTGTCACACCTCTGGCTTTGAGCAGGTATTTAACTGGCCACAAAGCAAAAAGAGCTTTATTTGCTGTCAGGTGAATGAAGAAAAGTACCACTGGTAAAAGTTGCGCCAGGGGAAGTTCAGGTTGGACATTAGGAAACACTTCTTTACTGAAAGGGTTGTCAGGCATTGGAATGGGCTGCCCAGGGAGGTGGTGGAGTCACCATCCCTGGAGGTATTTAAGAAACGTGTAGACATGGCTCTTCAGGGCATGCTCTAGTGCCCAAGATTATTGGTTTGTGGTGGGATGTTGTGTGGGTGGGTGATGTTTTTGGTTTGGTGGTTGTTGTTGTGTGTTTAGGGGGTGGATGGTGGTGTTTTCGTGGTTTTTATTTTTTATTTTTTTTTATTTTGTGGTTGGACTCGATGATCTCTGAGGTCCCTTCCAACCACTACAATTCTGTGATTCTGTGAAATAAATGTACCTCTGGGGCATTAAAACTTACATTTTTCCAACAAACTCTGAGATGCCCAAACTAGGGGAACTGCTGTAGTGCTTTAGCAGAGGGATGGAAAGCAAAATATATGTTTGGTTTTTTTTTAAATAAAATACCCAGCCCAGCAGTGGCCACACCCTTCAGCTCCCGGTTTAACCGTATTCCCCAAATACTGCACATGGATCCAGGCTCCAAAAGCAGGAGGGGGAGGAGTATTTCCTGCTTTATAAAGCGTTGTTTTAACTTTTAGCTCATATTGAGTGTGACACGGAATTGAGTGGCACAAAAGCGAGCGGTTTAGGGCTTTTGTGACAGCTAGAAATGAACCTGGTGCACCGCCACAGGCTACAGCTGGTTGGATTCTTCTTGTCTCTACTGGGATGGGTTTTAACTGGTATCTGTAACTATTTACCAGACTGGAAAAACCTTAATTTAGACTTAAACGTACTGGAGCTTTGGACCATGGGACTCTGGCAAACCTGTATAGAGCAAGATGTAGGAGGAACACAGTGTAAAGATTTTGATTCTTTCCTAGATTTGCCTCTAGAATTCAGGATTTCCAGGATATTAGTATCCACATCAAACGGACTAGGATTTGTGAGCCTTGTCATCGCTAGCCTTGGTTTGGACTGTATAAATGTGGAGGAACCAGAGCAGAAGCTGAAGAAACAGCTCTTGCTGTTTGGAGTTACACTCCTGTGGACGTCTGCGGTTCTGGTCATAGTCCCTGTGTCTTGGGTGGCCCACACGATCATCCAGGAGTTCTGGGATGAAGACATCCCAGAGATCGTGCCCCGATGGGAATTAGGGGACGCACTGTTCAGTGGCTGGTTTGGTGGGGTTTTTATAGTTCTCGGAGGATCTCTGCTCCTCTTCACCATCTGCTCCTCATCTGACCATCAGTTCCCAGAGAAGTACGCGATGGTAGATGTGCAAGACACCCACCAACAGCTGGAAACTGGACAGAGGAGACTTTGACAAGGGTAGATATCAGGTTTTCAGATCTCTTCCTCTTGCCTTGTAGTAAGAAAGGTCTGCTCAGCAGAGAGCTCCCTGTTTACAAGATCGGGGGGAGGGATCGTTTCTTCCTAAGTAGTTCCTTTAATCCCTACTTACCTTCAATTTTAATTACGTTAATTAATGAGCTGTGGAGATTTAAGTCACCGCTGTCTTTCTCCAAAAATCTGTCCAATTGCAGATTCTGGTTTTGTAGTTCAATTTTTACTTTTTAGGCTGAGTATTATTTTTTTTTACATCTCTAGGCTTGCATGGAGAGTTGACCGTCTTTTAAAAGGCAGAACTCCTCCTGGGGCTGCCTAAAAAAATGTCTGTTTTTAAGAAAATAATATCAGGTTGAGTCCTGAGACAGTTTGTAGTGCCGCTTGAATGTGCATTACCAACACCTCATGCAGTACCACTTGGAATGAAGCTCCCCAGAGCTGTATTATTTACATGAGTGGGTTTTTTTATGCATGTTTTACCCAAAATACATGATACTGTGTCTAAGGATAATACCTGATTCTCCATCGTGTGTGTAAATATGACTGAATACATCCCTGCACAAGCTCTAAGGAAAAAACCCAGTATTTCTGCATAATAATGGGATCTTGTCCAGTGCAGGGTTTCCCACCTTCATCGCTATTGCAGTTTTTACTTAATGAATGTAAAGAGCGAACTTCCAAATCTATAAATCCCTTCCTCTGTAACTCATCCCAAGGCTTGGCAGTGATTGATGTGAATTTTCTATAAATCACAGGGATTTTTGCGTTGACAAAGCCGGGGCTGCCATCTGTTTCCACAAAGGGCATATAAAGACACAGAACAGCAATAAAAGAATTAAAATAAAACACCGGTCTGGAAAAGAGCTTTGTTAAAAAAAAAAATAATGTATTTTCCAATCACTGAAACACATGGAAAGTGCAGAGACAAGTTAATCTATGGGATGTATTTGCATACTCTTACAGACAAAATTAGAACAGAAACACATTCAGAATATAACCTGATTAAATATTTAGTTCAGTCCTGAGCATTTGATATTTAATACAGTATAAACATAGCAATAGTAAAAAAAAAAAAAGTCTTAAAATTATTTGTGTTCTATTACAATTTCTGCTAAACTTTGCTCATTTGGCTAAATATTCTTGTACCAGTAATATTTAGATTTTGATATATGGAGCTGCAGTGACATTGGTACCTGGAAATACAACTAATTACATTCGTTATCCCCTGCTGTGCAGAATAAATTCCACTTCAAGAGTAATATTTATAATTTCAAACTGATGGGGGGGAGGTTATTTGTATGTATTATTTTAGCTTATTCTATTGAGGGTTTCAAGTGTGAATAATCTGAATTAGTTTAAAAAAAACAACCCCAAAACTCCAAATACATAGTTGCTAAAAGCTGCCTATAAATACATTTAACTTAAACATATTCATGCTCCTCGTTTTCCAAATTGGGGAAGCCTCTCGTTTTTAAATGAGATTTGCAGCAATACTTTAATTTTGACCTTACCTCATGCTTACAAATCCAATGATAACACTTGTTTTGACAATTATTTCAACACGCGAGGAGAAACAGCTCATCTGGCAAGAACTTAAGACAGCTGGAAATATTTTTCACAATAGCATCCTTAACATCAAATATTTTATGGCCAGAACTGAACTATATTAGACAGAACATAAATAAGACTGTAAATAAATAAAAGAAAAAAAATAATCATAAAGTACACCTCTAAACGTCATTCTACAAACAACTTAGATAATCAAATTGAGAAGTTGAAACTGTCAACCTTCATTTCACCTCTACATTAAATAATTCCAGATTTGTTTCTTCTTTTTTTTTAATTTTTTTTTTTTTAAATTGACCTTTCAAACCCGGAGGCGATCTCAAACCCAAGAAACACCAACCGAAGGGGGCGTCGGCAGAGGCTGTTCCCTCAGTCCCCTTGCCCCAAACAGCGCGTTTGGCCGGACGTTTCCGAGACCCCCTGATGTATTTGTGCTTCAGAAACCCCTGGGGGGTGACACAGCCCTCTCCTCACACAGCTGTCACTCTGAACTGGGGACAGCTGCCACCACACTCTGCTTGGATTTGCTTCTGTCTTCTCACCAAGGAATTATAGCCTTTTCTTTGAAAAATGAAGTCCGTGCGTAGGTGGCTACTTGTTTGGGGAAGAAAATGCTAAATCGGTGAATTAAATACACCCGAGTGCAACATCTGAAGTAGAAAATGGAGTAATTCTGTCAGCTGCAGTGTCCACCTCCTTACACAGCACCTAACACCAGAAACCCCAACAGCTGCTGTTCCAGGCTTCTTCCAGAAGGAATCCAAGGTGCTGCCTCCTCCCAGCAGGATCCTGCACATCAGACAGAACCATCCTCTTCATGTCTATCTGTTAAACCTCTGCACCCTCAGCTGCACACGGGGTCAAGGGGGTATATTTTTAAAAATGCTATTTATTGTACTGAGATATGTGAAGATTTCTAATCATGAACTTTTCCTTTCCAGACAGAGCTTATCTTACCAATAAGGTTGCTGGTCTTTCAGTTGGTACGGGATAGATGTTTCTCCTGGTGCAAACACTTCAATGAAAACATCTTCATATTTGGAATCCTAAGGAATACTTTTACCTATTCCTAGCTGGCAGCGAGACAGCCTCTAGGACAAAAGCTTAACACAGAGAAACTCTCCTTTTTAAGCATTCAGTGGCTATAACTATGCTGATGTCAATGCTGATATTACGAGTTTAATTCAGCTTCCAGTTCAGAAAGCAGCTGCCCCTTTTGGTAGTCTCATAGTAAGTTTTTTTTTTAGGGTTACTTGCCTGCCTTGCCTTTCTCACCCTCCCGCAGACGCAAGAAACCTTTTAGTGCAGGTTAAAGAACTGTACATTCAACAAATCTAAACTCCCAACTCTCTTCCTACAAAGTATTTTAAAAAACAAAAAAAAAAACAAAAAACAAAACCAGAAGAAATTTGTTTTCAGAAACAAAATTCCAGCATGGGTGCTGAATCTAATTAGCAGCTGGCGTGAGGCAGCCTGGATGTTTTGGAAAGGAGCTTCCGCATGTGGTTAACTTTAAACTAGAAAAGTCCCACTCTTGTAGAAAAATATTGCATGGCCCAAAGAGCCACCTTCACAGTCTGCTCACAGGAAAACAGGGAGAAGATAAAGGTTCTGTTGAACGTAATTGTTTCTCAGCGCAGTGCGGTTCAACAGGACAGGTGCTCAGTACTGCCTTGGTTCCTTTGTTCCATCTTTACACAATAAAAACACACGCAATACATACAAACTGTACAAAAAGCAGGATCCCAAAATTCATCTACTTTGGTTTTTCCAGTGGTTGGGGTTTGGGTTTTTTTTTGCCTTTTCTTCTTTTTTTCAAGCGTACAACAATTCAATTCACTGTATCTTACAAATAAACACACGGAGAGCGAATGTAACGTAGGAGCTCTTTGAAAGTGGGTCACTGGAACGACAAAGTTCAGCTGCAAAGAGATGAGCAAGTGGAAAAAAAAATAGAGAATGCAGAATTATACGTCATCAGCGGGGAGGGCTGGAATGCTGATCTTTGCCCGTGTGAAATAGGCCATCTTCTCCCTGAAATCAGAAAAGAAAACAACTTACTATTGCACTATTTATGGCACGACTCCCCCGTCATCTGCTGCTCCACCCCTAATGTTACAGCACAGTCCTTTAAAACAGAGGTTTGCAAAATATGAGGAAAATACACAGTGAATGTATTTACACCAAATGTGGTTGCCAGAGCGTTCGGACATAATTCCCTTCTTAGGCAGATTTATGTAAAAAGCAGCTTCAATTTTGAAAAAAAAAAAAATAAAATCAATATTTCATTAATAACTCCAATGATGAGAGTGAAATATTGATCCAGTCACTGAATTTCCTATGATGATATTGCAGTTCGGGGAATGAAAAGGCAAAATAAAACACTTTGTTTTGTCTTGGGAAAGGGAGGGGGGAAAAAAATTAAATAATTGTGTGTGGGCAAGACTAAGAGAAGCAGAATTGTCAACCTGTTCTCTTGTTGCTTCCCCTCTGCTGTTCCCCTTTCTGTCTCCTGTGAAGTGAGAGGTTACTGAAGCATAACCAGTTTGCACCAGCTCATCTGCCCGCAGCCCAGGAGGAGGCAGGTGATAAGTACTGGGGGCTTAAAAATTAAAGCTCAGAAGAGTCATCCTTCTCGAGAGCTTCAGAAATGCCTTTTGTGCGATCAGTCTTTGAGGCCAGAGCACTGTGACAAGTCCAAGGCAGCCTTGGGAGGGAGCTGTGTGTCTCAGAGCCAGATTAATTATGTAAACTGGATTCCTCGGCTAATTGTGCGGTGATTAGAAGATAAAGGAGAGCAGAGTCTTAACACTGCCCTTCTGGCTGGTGAATGATGTTATGTGTTCCTGTAAACCCGTGCAGGATGTTCCAGGGAGCAGTACCCACCAAAACTCCTTCCCCAGCCCTGCCTGGAAGGTGAAGGCTGTTTGAGGATGCTCTGAGTGTCACCCCGAAGATGCACAGCTCAGCTGTGACGCCGCTTTGCTGAGGAACCCCCCCTTTTCCTTTCTCTCTGGCTTTGACCCCGCATTGCTTACAGCTGTGGTTTGCAGTGTGTGTACAGGGCGTGTCTGATTGTATCTAGAAATAATTCACCTTTGCCTGGCTGCACTAATAAGAGCCTGAAAAGCAGAAGAGGCCGTACCTGAACGACTGCACCTGCAGTGGCACTTTCTGGCTCTGCTCCCGTAACCGGCACACGTCCTTGGAAGCTTTCCTCATCAGCTTCTCGGCGCTTAAACCTTGTTTCTGTTCTTCTTTCGACTGTTCAGCCTGCAAACGGGGGGAAAAAATAGTTATATTCTGCTAATAATGAACAATGACTCATTTCAAAGAAATGGCACGTGCTTCTGTGTCAAGCAAAACACCCGGCGGTGTTAGGTTTATGGTGGGACTCTTAAAGGTCTTTTCCAACCCAAATGAGTCTATGAAAATCTCTATACATAAGCAAGACGAAGGACTGACATCACAAGCCTAAGCCAAGGATATAAAATAAAATAACACAGATTTTCCTAAAAAAATTACACAGAGCAAATCCCATCCCATCACAAGTGGCTACTAGGTGTTATAAATTTAGTTGAGATATTTCTTAGGGCTATGGTTAGACAAAACCTACATTTGGATGAACAAGTGTTTTTACAACTGGGAAACAGTGATTCTCTTCCCAAGTAAAGTACTTTCATTTCCAAATAAAAGCTTTGGGGAAAGCTACCTGTACCTACTCTAAAATGACAGACAAGAAAAACAGAGCAGGCGTGCTCTCGAGATACACTTCCACGTGTTGTTGACCTTGTTTGCAAAGTCAGCACTCGGGAATTTTAAAATGAAATTAACCTATAAATGTTGTTTTCCTTATTAGTTAGTGAAGATAAATTTGCCATCTGCAACCGCTAGCGTATTAATCTTACATATGTCACTGGCCATATGTTTTAGAAGCTCCCCTAGCTAATATTTATCATCAGAACACTAGAGAACTTCAAAATTTTCTCATTTTATCTTTTCCCCAACTCTACATGAGATTCTGGGTGGAATTTTCCATGTTCCAACTTGTCACTGTTGCTGTTGGCTCCTTCTATCCTGTCTTCCCTTATGGCAGTTTGGAGACAGCGCACACAGACTCGTATTGTTTGAGAGATCCTCACACAGAGGATTTGCATCTCTCCTGCCAAAACTAGAACATCCTGCCTAAGGAAACAAGCCACAGTGGAAGTGTTGCCTTTCCCACACGTCCCTGCCACGGCGGGGAATGGTCACTGCCTCTTTCTACCTGTCACCAAGATCTTCTGGCTGCAAGTTCTGAGCAGGCTGCAAATCAACTGATGCTGAAGGACAAAAGGGATAAGCAGGGCTGCAGAAGTACAGCTGGGAGGTGAGAATTTTAAATTAACTTATAAGTAGGTATCTGTACTATTTTACTTTGTCAGCCACAAGTATTACCCCAAATAAGAGAGATTCTGCGCTGAATTACGCAAGTATTTAGAGGGCACTAGAAAAATACTACCTCAAATTCATAGAATCACAGAATGGTTTGGGTTGGAAGGGACCTCAAAGATCACCCAGTTCCAACCCCCCTGCCCTGGGCAGGGACACCTCACTGGCCTTGAACCCCTCCAGGGATGGGGCAGCCACAGCTTCTCTGGGCAACCTGGGCCAGGCTCTCACCACCCTCACAGGAGAGTTTAAATTTGAAGTTTAAATGCTGCAGTATTGACTAATAAAGAGATATTGTTTACACTAAGTATTTCAGAGGTATCATTAGTCATATGTGAGAGTCTGGAAAAATCTTTAACACGACAGACTGAATTCTTTAGTGATTTACAGAACAGGTAGGGGGCATACACGTATTTATTCCCACAATATCCATTTGCTGCCCGTACCTGTTTTTCAGCTTGTTTCAGGAGTTTCTGGAACCGCTCGTCCTCCAGCACGCAGAGGGGAAGGTCTGTCTCTCCTCTGCCTTTCATCTCCTCCAGCTTCTGTTTGAGGTCCCTCAAGGCCCGCAGCTCGTCGTTGAGGCGGCTCTGCCTGGTGCGTGAGGCCTGGAGGTCCAGCTCCAAGTCCAGGGAGGTGCGGACGGGGCGCTCCTGCGTAGCCCTGCGCATGATGGGCTGGCAAACAGGCTGTGGAGGTCAAGAGAAAGAACAATACAAAAAGATTATCATCTGGAGAGGCTGCTGCAGGGTTTGACAGAACACAGCCAGAAAAGCTCAAATAACGTTTGTTTTTCTTTAGCGAAGGCCGCTGTGATGAGATCCAAGACTAAAATATTCACCTTTTCTGGGATTTTTCTTCAGTCCCTAGGCTAAAAATAAGTGCAAAAGCTTCTCCGAGCAGGTGTCTAATATTTACAGGTTAAAAACAAAGCCCCCCATTCTGATCCCCAGGACAACACAATGCCAGAGACCACAACCACACAGATTTCCCCACAGATGTCAACTACGTTACTTATTTTTATCAACATTTGCTTTTTTCAAGGTCTAAGCAAACACTTCATGTTTTGAACCCTGTAAACATGCATTTCTTTAGTGCATTTCACATTTATTTACTGTCTTCTCCCTGTGACTTTTCACATGAATAGGTCAGGCAAGAGAAACCATCCCAGACTATTCAGTATTTCTTTCTTATGCCAAATATAATCCCGCTTCCCAATAACAACTTGCTTTAATTACAATCAAGATGAAAATCTCCCTCTCTCAATTTACGTAAGAGTGAGCTACATGCAAGAGAAACACAGTCTCGCCCTCGTCCTTCCATCATTTTGCTGAAACGCTCTTGGAGAAGAGTAAACCCACTTTAAATCTAAATCCTTGAAATTTGCTCAAGATGTATGTTACTGCCATTGATTTTTGTGCGGCGCGAGTCACCTTGGGGCACTGTGTAATTATCTGAGGTCTCTAATAAGCTACAGTTGAGCAGCAGACGCCCCGCTGCCGGGCACCAACGTCCTGCTACTGGCTTCAGCCACAACTAGGACAACAGCAGCTTCGGTGGTGGGGAAGATACAGGACCCAGACCCCTGTGCTGAGATTTCAACCCAAAAGCCCAGAGCTCTGCGTGGCACTTGCATGGCTTCTGCTGGAATATGTGACGTAAACCCTGCTCTGGTTGGGACCAGGCCCAGGCGATGCAGCACGTACCCGTTTCACTCGCAGGCTCCGCCGCTCTGTGGCGTTTCTCACAAAGAGAGACTTTTTGGCTAATGTGGAGCTGTCGCTGTCACTGCGGTTCAACTGTCAAAAAACACATAACAAACAGAGATATAAAGCATCTTCATATAGAAGCACATCTGTATTGATACAACCAGGCAGGAAGCCTCACTGTTGATACACAGCTAGGTCACTCTTACTATAAAATTACTTTTTTTTTTTCCAACTAGAGTAAGTGCTCTAAAATGGTGACAATATTTACTGGGGTGGGGGATTCAAGGTCTCAGTGTTTTCGAGCTCACCAGGGGCAGGGACGAGGAGGAGCAAGAGCCGGGCACTTGACCCAAGCTGCCAACAGGGTTATTTCGTACCATGAATGTCACATTCAATATAAATTAGAAAGCTTACTGAGTTCTTTCTCTCTCTCCCTTGCTGGCTGCCATCCTGAGAACTCCTTGCACCGGTGCCAGAGCCCTGAGCCCTTCCCTTCCCCCAAAAGCCGCAGGGCTTGCAGGGTCCCACACTGGCTGTCCCTGCTGGGAGTGCATGGCTCCCTGCTGATGGATTGGGCTGAGTATAATCCCTGTGTATTTTATATTGGTATCAGGATCAATATGGATTCTTTAGTATTATTAGTCTTAATTATTTAGTCTTATCCTGTTAAATACATTTCTATTTCAACCCTCATGTTTCCTTCTTTTCCCCGATTCCCTTTTCTGGGTGAGGAGGGGTCGTCGGGTGAGAGAATAATTGTCTGAAGCACACTGAATTGCTGTGGGTTCCTCACACCACAGGACACGTCGATAGGCAGAGGCCTGAAGCAGACTCACACGGGACTGACTGGCAGCTGGGGTGAGAAACACAACCTCTCACGGCACAAATACACCGAGAGAGAGAGACGTGTCTGTTCCCCATGGAGTTCTCCCCCTGGGATGCTCATGGGTGGCTCCCATCACTGACGTTCCTAAAGCACTTCTCAAGGGATATTTTCAAAGGCACCAACAGACTTAGGCCTCAAAAATCTTTGTGTCTGGTGTAAGATGAGAGTTGGTGGGTTCCTAAAGCCTCTTCTGAGAAGAGAGGAGCCGGGGTTGGCCAGCGGCAGATGCTCCCCTCTGGGATCGAGCGAGGCTGGATGTGCTGGGGACGGGGACCGGGGACACCTGGGCTGGACTCGGATGCAGCTCCAGGGCTGCTCTCCAGCCTGGACAAGTCTTTCTGAAGCTGTAAAAGCTTCCTCTGTGCCAACACGGGCTTTTCACAGGCTATTTTGCTTCCAGGCAGTACCATACACAACCGGAAAGAGAATGGTTTATTCAAGGTCTATGTTTTTTTTTTTTAAGATTCTGGCTTCTGGCAGCAGGTACAATCTTCAAAAGCCCCATTATTTTTTTTCCAGATGCAAAAAACCTCAGGATTTTGTACTAACTAAACCATCAGAGCAACCAGGCTTATTTCCTGACAAAGGCCTCTGCAGGCAGTGGGCCAAGGCTACGTATTTTTCTGCCACTACGCCTGATTTCCAGTGTTACAGGAATTAAGATGAAGGCTGGGGGCTGGATTCAGCCAAGAATCTCTCTGAGCTCCGTAAGGATGGTCACAAAACGATCTGCTGTGTTCCTTTCTGGAGGGTTCTATGGAACAGTTATTCAAATATATACATACCGACTATAGATTTATTGTATTTTTTTAAGCCAATGATAATCACAGAGAAGTGAACAACTTTAATGTTTCCAAATGATTAAGGCAATCACCTTTAACTGAACTGGAGAAGAATTAAATTGTAAGTATTTTAGTTTTTTTTTTAAGTCATACTTGTGTGAATAACCCGTATGAACTAAAGATCAAAAGCAAACTGCCTTTTCTAGGGTGTCCGTAATTAAAATCTATAGAGTTGATAATCCACGCTTAAACCTTTAAACACATGATTTTCACAGGTAATTTAGCAGGGACAGGGCTGGTAATTTAAATCTTTTTTTGTTTCCAGGCTTCCACGGATCTAGAGAGACTGGAGAACCCTGTTCCCAAAGCCCCGTTTAAAACCCAGCCCCTCGGCAGCGCTCGCACGTCTTCCAAAGGTGTAATTTCAGCAGGATTTGGGCTGCCCAGGTTTAAAACCCAGTTGAGGTACAAAGTGAGATTTAAAAATCGACGACCAAGCTCTTTAACCGCGCTGTTACCCTTAAACGGTTACGTTATTAAAATATGGTAATGCAATGGTGGTTTACAGCAAAACACACTGCAGGGAGCCAGTGCAGGAATTGCTGTTACTCCTCTCCAACGGGATGCATTTTTGCCCTAAAAAAGGTGTTTTGCAAGAGTCTGAAACTGCTGAATCAATTCTTCCAGGCGTGGGGTCAGTTTGGGAAAGAAGGAATGCAGAGGAAGCACAGGCTCTGCCTCTTGCAGGGAGAACTGGGACATGACTCACTGTCATTAATGCCTGGTTCCCAAGAAGTGTCAATGACTCTGTAGTTAATAGCCCTTCACTCCCAGCCTTTCTCCTCTTACCCTGCAGATGTATTGGTTCCGCTCGCCTGGAGAGAAGGTCTGGGAGCGCACGATCATGCTGTTCCTGACAAAGGGACGCTGTCTGGAGCTCCAGCTGGCTCTGTCCTTGGGTCGGACCGCTGCCTTCTCCTTCACCGACTCCTCCGTGTTAGTCTCTTTATCAACCTACGGAGAGGAGTGTAGTTTGTTAGAGCTGCTCCAGCCACACACGTAGTCCTTGTGCCTTTGGATTTTACAAGCATTCTCTTAAAAAGTGGAAAATGGAAAAAGACGAGCAGCAAAAGCATCTCGCACATACGGAGAAGAAAAGGAACAAAACACAAAATTCCCCAAATGCTTAGCGGTGTGGGGGGAGTCTTTGAAGGTGCTTTTGGTATCCAGCAAAACCACAGCAGAAAGGCCTGGACACGTTCCTGTGCAACCTGCTCTGGGTGGACCTGCTCTGGCAGGGGGCTGGAGGAGATGATCTCCAGAGGTCCCTTCCAACCCCATGCCATTCTGTGATTCCAGGTCAGCAAACAGGTTGTGTCAATGGCCCAACCTTCAGATCTTGTCCTTGATGCCTCCCCTCACCAAGTCAGGGCTTTGATCTGTATTTGCTTGCTGCTCAGCAGACTGTCAGCCCCTTTAACACCACGGCCTTAGCTCGTTTGGCATCTTGCCACATTAATTGGAAGTTAATTCCAGTTTCTGGGAAGCCCACCAAAGTGTGGAACTTCTGCACTGTCAGAAACTTGGAAGTTATGAGGTCTCGTTCTTCGCCTTTTTATCTTTGCTGTTTCATAGAACCCATGGGTTTAACGCGTGCAACAGTGCTTTCATGGAGATGCAGAAGGGTGTTCTGAACATCTTATTTGTAGAGCGTGTACTACCACATCAGGGATACGTTCACTAAAAATTTACTAAAAGTGCTTTGAGAAAGGTGGAGTATGATTTAGAGTGAACAGTGAACAGGAACATGGAATTAGAATTTGTTCTGTGCAGTGCATGGGTAGTTCAATAGCACACTTAAATACACATTTCGAAATTTTCTCTTCATTAATCTTTCCTCCTCTCCTAAGCCAGTTTTCTTGTATTTCACACCCTAAAATACAGCGAAGAAATAAGGGAATCCCCTCATTGGTTTAAAGATCTTGACCCTGTTCTGTCTTTCCCCGTTTATCAGATGAATCAGGAAAAAAAGGAGACAATGAAACAGATGTGCAGAAATATTTTCAACATGCACAAGCTGAAGCTATTGAACTGTGCTTGTGTATGGAATATTCTCCTTATGCAACAAAAAAAAGTGAAGATGGACATTTTTAGTTAATTGTCTTTGACTTGGACTTGTTAAATGCCCTATTTGTAGTTCACAACAATTTCGTAAAAAGTACGTACTGACAAGTGTGACAGCAAAGGCCACATCAAACTGTTAATGCTGAGATGCTGCCAACTTCTACATTAACTGCTCAGAAATAGACCTTCAGACACAACAAGAAGGTGTATTTCAAGATACTCACCAGTGTCAGTATCACAGCAGCTCGCTGGCCTTCATGGGCCTCATCGCTGCTCTCTCTGTCCTTGTCCTGAGCCCTTTCTGATGTGTCCACGAGGAACCCCACGTTGTCAGAACAGCTGCCTTCTGCCACCAGCTTCATCCCATCTTCCTCTTCATCTGCAATTTCATCGGAGGCTTCCGCGAGCATTTCTAGCCTGTGAGAGCACAAGTAGCCCAGGCTGATTCTCAAACTGAAAAGGCCCACCAGAGAGAGGTGTCGGAAGGCCTAGGCCTTCACCCATGGGTCATAGGTGTCGGAAGGCCTAGGCCTTCACCCATGGGTCATGGAGGTGTTGAAGGATGAAGGAGTCTCCCCTTCCCCCACTTCTACGCTACAAATAGCGAGGGAGGAAAAGTGCCTTTACCAGTCTTCCTCAGAGCCCCTTTGCTCCTGTTCCTCCTCCTCTTCCTCATCGTCGTCTTCAGCCAGCTCTTGCTCTACTGCTTCCAGCTCAGCAGATGTCCTCTCCAGCAGAGCTGACACAGCATCCTGCTCACAAGGAAAGAGAAGATGAAACCAGAACTCAGTGATATATAACATAGGTAAAAAAAAAAACAACAAAAAAGACAACTCTTGCACGAGCTGCATTATCCTGCTCCTCCCAGATACCACCAAAAACACGACTCAGAACTCAAGTAGAAGGGGTTTGAATTGTCAGTGTGTACACTAACTGATTGGGTTTATACAGAGTAAATCTCAATAAAAACCAGATTGTTTGTAGAACAATAATGCAATCATCTGATTGCATCATGCTCCTGTCACCCTTTAATGTCTCGCCTCTTTTCCTCTCATATTTGTAATATCCCAAGGGAAAAAAAGGTTGTTCTTAAAAGTTACATTTTTTCATGTAGTTCTCAAGGAGGTATTAAAGTAGAAAAGCTCATTTAACCAGAAGAATTAGTATGTCTTTTGCATAAGTAGCATTGTCAGTGCAATAGCTTTAAGTATGCAAATTTAAATAGTTAACAAATAGCAATTTTTCATGTGTTCAAGTGAAAATCGATGGTAAAGTTAAGGCAGCTCTTAGGTATCATTCTTTTTTGAATGAAACACACAGGTGAGGTGTTTCAAATCGGAGTGCAATTTGGTGCCCCAGAGAGAAGCATCAGCCCTACCCACACCTGCTAACGAGGCTGGAACCACACATAGGACCTCCTCACGCACAAAGACCCTACGGACAAAAGTCCCTGCAGGACAAGAGGGCCTTGGACCCTCAGGGGAGGAGAAGTCACATATTAACCACAACACAACAGCACAATTTGAGTCCCGTGGCTTTTTTGTTGCTGTTACAGCAACAGCCAACACATGGCTCACCAGGTCCAACGCATCCGACGACTGTTTGCTCAACAGAAACATGGATTCTTCGTTTTGTTCCTTGGGTTTTTTGCCAGGGGTCTGCCTGCAAGGCAACAGGTTGTACCACAGAGCACCAGCCTCATCAGAAACTGATAAATCTGCCAGACTGATCTGAGTCCCAGCCTGCACAAAATAAGGAAGAAGAAGAAAATTATTTAAATTTGTTTTTTTTTATTTTTTATTTTTCCTGCAAGATGGCTGAAAAGAAATTCTACAGTATTTATCATGTAAAATAAGCAGCACAAATTGGACATGAATTTGAATTCCCTATGTAACTGTACAATTTTCTATCTCCCTTCAATTCTAATTAAAATGAACAGCAGTACATGGAGAGATCCTTCAGATTGTCCATCCTGGGGAACTTCTCCCCACGTGCACAGCCATGAAACCCTCTGTATCACTGGAACACACGCGTCTGCTTTCTACTGCATTCAATACGGAAAATATGTATTCAATAAGGAAAAACTGTCAATGAAACCTCCAGCATCAACGCATGGAATGTCCAGTTTCAGTCAGTTTTTCAGTTGTTCCACCACAAAAGTCATCAATACGGCAAACAATAATGGTTCTTTGCTCTTAACCAGTGAAGGAGCAGATGAAAAACAGGAGAAGACATTAAGAAACCGTTTCATTTGGACAAGCACTGACCCCCCAACTCTCTCAGCCTGTCCTCACAGCAGAGGGGCTCCAGCCCTCCCAGCATCTTAGTGGCCCTCTTGCCAAGACTCTGGTCATGTTGCCCAGGGCCTTCTAACAGGGGTGCTTTCTTTTCATTTTGTGATTAACCCTCATGTCCTTAGTTGTTGAGGATTCTTCTGTTGTTGGTTTTTTTCTTCACCTTTGCATCCTGCTGTTCTGCCTTATTCTTGTTCTGTTGCCCTGCTCTTACCTGAGGGGAAACCTCTGACGTACTGAAAAAGGCCAACACACTCCCCAGGAATTCAGTTAAATTCTACATTTTTGAAATTCTACATTTTGAGGCTGTTCCCAATAGTCCGGGGCTGATGAACCCCACCAGATTCCAGCATCTCTTCAGTGTGTTGTAACTAAAAAATCTTGCTCAGACTCAGTGTGAAAAACTAAACTGAGCTGTACCAGACCATGCAAAAGCAATTTGAAAGTAAATGAAGCATCGCTAATTAGGTGATGACAACAATTAACAACAAAATTTAAAAGGTGCCAGTTTCTAATAGGCTGGTCTATGAATGTCACACCTTTCTATTATTTCTACAGATTATAAAGAGTGAAAAGGTGGGCATCATACAACCTACAGCAAGGTGAAAAAATGTGATTTAGTTTGTTCTTTGTGACAAGTTGTGATAACGAGGGTTGGCTTTTTTTTGTTGTTGGACAAACCGTGGCTCTTATTCAGCTTTTCCTTGAAAATCTAGTGTTGGAGTAGTGTTGCAAGGAAGTTTATGGTGTTTCTTAATGTATAAAACTGCAAAGATGGAATAGAAATAAGGGAATCCCCTCATTGGTTTAAAGATCTTGACCCTGTTCTGTCTTTCCCCGTTTATCAGATGAATCAGGAAAAAAAGGAGACAATGAAACAGATGTGCAGAAATATTTTCAACATGCACAAGCTGAAGCTATTGAACTGTGCTTGTGTATGGAATATTCTCCTTATGCAACAAAAAAAAGTGAAGATGGACATTTTTAGTTAATTGTCTTTGACTTGGACTTGTTAAATGCCCTATTTGTAGTTCACAACAATTTCGTAAAAAGTACGTACTGACAAGTGTGACAGCAAAGGCCACATCAAACTGTAAATGCTGAGATGCCTCCAACTTCTACATTAACTGCTCAGAAATAGACCTTCAGACACAACAAGAAGGTGTATTTCAAGATACTCACCAGTGTCAGTATCACAGCAGCTCGCTGGCCTTCATGGGCCTCATCGCTGCTCTCTCTGTCCTTGTCCTGAGCCCTTTCTGATGTGTCCACGAGGAACCCCACGTTGTCAGAACAGCTGCCTTCTGCCACCAGCTTCATCCCATCTTCCTCTTCATCTGCAATTTCATCGGAGGCTTCCGCGAGCATTTCTAGCCTGTGAGAGCACAAGTAGCCCAGGCTGATTCTCAAACTGAAAAGGCCCACCAGAGAGAGGTGTCGGAAGGCCTAGGCCTTCACCCATGGGTCATAGGTGTCGGAAGGCCTAGGCCTTCACCCATGGGTCATGGAGGTGTTGAAGGATGAAGGAGTCTCCCCTTCCCCCACTTCTACGCTACAAATAGCGAGGGAGGAAAAGTGCCTTTACCAGTCTTCCTCAGAGCCCCTTTGCTCCTGTTCCTCCTCCTCTTCCTCATCGTCGTCTTCAGCCAGCTCTTGCTCTACTGCTTCCAGCTCAGCAGATGTCCTCTCCAGCAGAGCTGACACAGCATCCTGCTCACAAGGAAAGAGAAGATGAAACCAGAACTCAGTGATATATAACATAGGTAAAAAAAAAAACAACAAAAAAGACAACTCTTGCACGAGCTGCATTATCCTGCTCCTCCCAGATACCACCAAAACCACGACTCAGAACTCAAGTAGAAGGGGTTTGAATTGTCAGTGTGTACACTAACTGATTGGGTTTATACAGAGTAAATCTCAATAAAAACCAGATTGTTTGTAGAACAATAATGCAATCATCTGATTGCATCATGCTCCTGTCACCCTTTAATGTCTCGCCTCTCTTTTCCTCTCATATTTGTAATATCCCAAGGGAAAAAAAGGTTGTTCTTAAAAGTTACATTTTTTAATGTAGTTCTCAAGGAGGTATTAAAGTAGAAAAGCTCATTTAACCAGAAGAATTAGTATGTCTTTTGCATAAGTAGCATTGTCAGTGCAATAGCTTTAAGTATGCAAATTTAAATAGTTAACAAATAGCAATTTTCAATGTGTTGAAGTAAAAATTGATGGTAAAGTTAAGGCAGCTCTTAGGTAACATTCTTTTTTGAATGAAACACACTGGTGAAGTGTTTCAAATCTGAGTGCAATTTGGTGCCCCAGTGAGAAGCATCAGCTCTATCCACACCTGCTAACGAGGCTGGAACCCCACATAGGACCTGCTCACGCACAAAGACCCTACGGACAAAAGTCCCTGCAGGACAAGAGGGCCTTGGACCCTCAGGGGAGGAGAAGTCACATATTAACCACAACACAACAGCACAATTTGAGTCCCGTGGCTTTTTTGTTGCTGTTACAGCAACAGCCAACACATGGCTCACCAGGTCCAACGCATCCGACGACTGTTTGCTCAACAGAAACATGGATTCTTCGTTTTGTTCCTTGGGTTTTTTGCCAGGGGTCTGCCTGCAAGGCAACAGGTTGTACCACAGAGCACCAGCCTCATCAGAAACTGATAAATCTGCCAGACTGATCTGAGTCCCAGCCTGCACAAAATAAGGAAGAAGAAGAAAATTATTTAAATTTGTTTTTTTTTATTTTTTATTTTTCCTGCAAGATGGCTGAAAAGAAATTCTACAGTATTTATCATGTAAAATAAGCAGCACAAATTGGACATGAATTTGAATTCCCTATGTAACTGTACAATTTTCTATCTCCCTTCAATTCTAATTAAAATGAACAGCAGTACATGGAGAGATCCTTCAGATTGTCCATCCTGGGGAACTTCTCCCCACGTGCACAGCCATGAAACCCTCTGTATCACTGGAACACACGCGTCTGCTTTCTACTGCATTCAATACGGAAAATATGTATTCAATAAGGAAAAACTGTCAATGAAACCTCCAGCATCAACGCATGGAATGTCCAGTTTCAGTCAGTTTTTCAGTTGTTCCACCACAAAAGTCATCAATACGGCAAACAATAATGGTTCTTTGCTCTTAACCAGTGAAGGAGCAGATGAAAAACAGGAGAAGACATTAAGAAACCGTTTCATTTGGACAAGCACTGACCCCCCAACTCTCTCAGCCTGTCCTCACAGCAGAGGGGCTCCAGCCCTCCCAGCATCTTAGTGGCCCTCTTGCCAAGACTCTGGTCATGTTGCCCAGGGCCTTCTAACAGGGGTGCTTTCTTTTCATTTTGTGATTAACCCTCATGTCCTTAGTTGTTGAGGATTCTTCTGTTGTTGGTTTTTTTCTTCACCTTTGCATCCTGCTGTTCTTTTCTCCCCACGTGCACAGCCATAAACCCCTCTGTATCACCGGAACACAGACGTCTGCTTTCTACTGCATTCAATACGGAAAATATGCATTCAATAAGGAAAATCTGTCAATGAAACCTCCACCATCAACGCATGGAATGTCCAGTTTCAGTCAATTTTTCAGTTGTTCCACCACAAAAGTCATCAATACGGCAAACAATAATGGTTCTTTCCTCTTAACCAGTGAAGGAGCAGATGAAAAATAGGAGAAGACATTAAGAAACTGTTTCATTTGGACAAGCACTGACCCCCCAACTCTCTCAGCCTGTCCTCACAGCAGAGGGGCTCCAGCCCTCCCAGCATCTTAGTGGCCCTCTTGCCAAGACTCTGGTCATGTTGCCCAGGGCCTTCTGCTGGTGGTGGTGCTCCCAACGCTTTCTTTTCATTTGGTGATTAACCCTCATCTGCTCTTACCTGAGGGGAAACCTCTGACGTACTGAAAAAGGCCAACACACTCCCCAGGAATTCAGTTAAATTCTACATTTTTGAAATTCTACATGTGGCCCTCTTGCCAAGACTCTGGTCATGTTGCCCAGGGCCTTCTGCTGGTGGTGGTGCTCCCAACGCTTTCTTTTCATTTGGTGATTAACCCTCATGCCCTTAGTCGTTGCGGATTCTTCTGTTGTTGGGTTTTTTCTTCACCTTTGCATCCTGCTGTTCTGCCTTATTCTTGTTCTGTTGCCTTGCCCTTACCTGAGGGGAAACCTCTGACATACTGAAAGAGGCCAACACACTCCCCAGGAATTAAGTTAAATTCTACATTTTTGAAATTCTACATTTTGAGGCTGTTCCCAATAGTCCGGGGCTGATGAACCCCACCAGATTCCAGCATCTCTTCAGTGTGTTGTAACTAAAAAATCTTGCTCAGACTCAGTGTGAAAAACTAAACTGAGCTGTACCAGACCATGCAAAAGCAATTTGAAAGTAAATGAAGCATCGCTAATTAGGTGATGACAACAATTAACAACAAAATTTAAAAGGTGCCAGTTTCTAATAGGCTGGTCTATGAATGTCACACCTTTCTATTATTTCTACAGATTATAAAGAGTGAAAAGGTGGGCATCATACAACCTACAGCAAGGTGAAAAAATGTGATTTAGTTTGTTCTTTGTGACAAGTTGTGATAACGAGGGTTGGCTTTTTTTTGTTGTTGGACAAACCGTGGCTCTTATTCAGCTTTTCCTTGAAAATCTAGTGTTGGAGTAGTGTTGCAAGGAAGTTTATGGTGTTTCTTAATGTATAAAACTGCAAAGATGGAATAGTGTTCTGTAATTAAAAGGTAAGGGAATGCACTGTTAGAATTACCAAAACAGCTCCTGAAATGTCCATCCAGGATTAGATTCAGTCCCAAGAATTTCATACAATCACAGAATGGTTTGGGTTGGAAGGGACCTCAAAGATCATCCCCTCCTGAAACGTCCATCCAGGATTAGATTCAGTCCCAGGAATTTCAGAGAAAGAGAGTATTTTAAGCACCGTAGCAACGACCGAGTTATGCTTTGGAGTTTGTTTCCAAATACTGTGGAATTTCAGCAGCCTCGACCGTCAAAATAAGAGGGGACACTCCAAACAGACACGTGCCCAAATAAAGCCAGAAACACCTCCAGTGTGATGGGATTTCAGAGAAAAGGGGTATTTTAAGCACCGTAGCAACGACCGAGTTATGCTTGGGAGTTTGTTTCCAAATACTGTGGAATTTCAGCAGCCTCGACCGTCAAAATAAGAGGGGACACTCCAAACAGACACGTGCCCAAATAAAGCCAGAAACAGAAGTGCCTACCAAGCATTCCTCCTGACGGCTCCTGCCCACAGAGCACACGTCTACTCTTATGCTTGGGAGTTTGTTTCCAAATACTGTGGAATTTCAGCAGCCTCAACTGTCAAAATAGGAGGGGACACTCCAAACAAACGCGTGCCCAAATAAAGCTAGAAACAGAAGTGCCTACCAAGCATTCCTCCCGACGGCTCCTGCCCACAGAGCACACGTCTACTCTCAGTGTCTTCTGCAGCAGCGTCCCTTGGGAAATGGCCACTCGGAATATCTCGTGGAATGGAACAGTTTCCATGGCAGGATGGACTTTTGTGCGGAACAGGCAGCTGGTGTCCATGGAGGAGGGAAGTACAGCTACTCTGATGTACCTGCCGGGAAGCAAACACAATTAAATCTGTATTTCAATACCTGTGTTTAAACAAGCATTCCCTGGTGACGCGTGACAGAAGCCCACCCCATCGACCGCAGAGCAAGGAAGGTGGAACAGCAACAAACCAAGAGGTGGAAAGGCAAAAGAGGTGAAAAAGAGGAATGAGAAACTCCTCCCTGGCACAAACATTTCCCAAAAAAAAGGAATTTCTGTGCCTGGGAAGGTGGTAGCAGGAGAGGTAGCTATTTCTATCTCTATCCAGATTTATCCTCGGCTTGAGTACTGTGAACGCTGAGGATCGTGTCACAGATGGGAGGAAACATGATCTTAATGCTAATTAAAAAAGAGAAAAATTTGGGTGGATGTAAAAATTAAACTCTTAGAATGATGTGAGCAGCACTGAAAAGCAGTAACGTCCTTTAAAGAAACAAACGAAACAAAACTTTCAAAAGAAACCACAAAACTAAGGAAAATGAGGGAGGAAACAGGTGGGCCCATAGCTGCTTAAGATCAATTCATAATATATTAAGAATATATATTAGAAGAATGCATCCTGCAAGCCTGAACTTCAGCACAGGGAATAATTCCAAGTTTTTATGCAGCTGAATTCTTTTCATAGAACAAACCTGAGTGGCAGTGATGGGGATAAAGGTGATACTTGCAACCTTGCAGGTCTTGCTTTAGCACGAGCTTGAGAGAACAAAGACATTCCTAATGCAATCAAATCTGAATTTCATCATAGCCTTTATTCCCCAATTATGCAAAGCTTCTTGGGATAAAAAAAAAAAAAAAAAAAAAAAAAAAATAAATGTAATTTTGGTCCACTTTTTTTTTTTTTTTCCTTCTACCCGAAATTAAGAATTGCTACATTTTGTTTTTGACAAAATTCTTTGGGAAAAAAAAAAAAAAAAAAAAAAAGTAAGATCTAAGTTTGTTTGGTTCACATCTATAGCCTGGAGAGCAGGTATCCAGCATTTTGACAAACCAATCCCAAAATTCAGTGGTAAATATAATCCCAGTAACGCTGCTGCTGTAGTCACTGGGCAGGTAGGCGAGCAATTTGCATGCTTTACTGGAAACAGCTATTTTAATAGATTAAGCAATTAGGAAACAATTAGAAAAGAGGCGGGAACAGAAGATAAAGTATGTTAAAAGTATATTTTTAAAGGTGGTTGATTGGAGCTGTCTTTTTGTTAGCCAATATATTGGTATCAGGTCAGAATGAGGGGAAACAGAGAAGTAAAAGATCAGTTGCTCAGTGGCTTTGCTTTACAAGAAGTGCTTACTTCCACTGGAATTTAAAAAGTCAACCAATGCCTCAGATTCTTCTGTGATAAATCTATGAGTTCTCAACTCGTGAACAGATGATCCTGACACAAAGAGTAAGTGTTGAGCTGGGCTCTACCTGCTCTAAAAGCCAACAGCTTCCACAAACGGCGTGGAATCGGGTATCGGTAAGACCTCATGTCAAATCTATTCCTCTGGGTGCAAAGGTTCAATAAAGCACTGATCTACCCAATTTCGTGTTATAGAAAATACAGTTATAACATACTATCATTATCCAGCCCCAATTTTTATGGTGGTACCTACCTGTACAGTATATATGTATAAGCACACGATGGCAAGTGACTGAAAAAAGTGCTATTTGCGGGGTCCTTCCTTTACCCTGCCCTTTCTTCCCCCTGGCTTTGGGTACCTTTAGTTTTATTCCATCTTTTTAGCAGCAGCAGGGCTGGACTTCTGCACCAAAGACACTCAACTACTAATTACAATGGCATATTTTATTTCCTAAAAAGATGCCAGCTATGACCTAACTTTATCTTACCAAACATTTTGTTGACATTCTTTTTATATTCTGCATTATCCACTTTTCCTGTCAGCTGTGTCAATTTATTCTTCTATAGTTTTTTTTTATATATATATTCTTGTGCTAAATGCTGGTGGACTCAGAAGGTCAGCAGGGGAAAGAGGGAGGTCAGAGAAGGAAGGGTGGTAGCAGACAACCATTTGTTATTAAAAATAAACAAAAACAAACAGAAAAAAATCCAAGCAGAACCCAGGTCTGTGTCCCTGTACGTCCTTCCCATACTCAGTGGCTTCCTGTCCATCCACCATTAAATTCAAGGTGACAGGGAACAGAGGGAAGGGAACCAGCAAGAAAAGCAGATTTTCCACAGGTAGATTATGATCTACTCTAAAGTTACTAAACTTCTCACCAGTTTAAGATAGTTTTCCAGCCTGTAAAGGCCTCACTGAGGTACAAGAGTCCCTAAGGCACTGGGGCAAATTGTACTTATTTGTACGGATGAGAGTTTGGGATTAAAATCTCAGTGGTAACATTTTCTTATTTGGGTATTTTTGTTCATTTCCTACATACCATTTCCACTGCTGTGACTTTTAGACCTTTCCTGTCCCATTCAACACGAGAACTTAACAGACCTCCAAGCTCCAGTTGGCAGAGAAGGTGGATCTCAGTGTGACTGTGATTGCCCACTGGCCATTTATCAAATTTACCTTTAAAAAGCTCACTTAAAAGACACATACTATTTTAATAAATGCCATATAAATGTAAAAAGACAACATCCTGAGCCAAAAGAATGGCAAAGTATCAAATAAAATGTTTTTAGTAACTACAGAAGAGCTGTTTCTGCACCCACAAAGATACAGAATGTTTAAAAACGCTAAATGAAACATCATTTAAAAGAATCCTTTTTGTTCCATTTTAGTGGAAGGTGCAAATTTCCCAATAACTTCTTTTTCTCGCAGTGTTGCTGGAATACAGAAAAGCTAAGTACGACTGCAGTTTGAAAAGTTTTATACATAGTTTAGTGCATTTAACCAGTCCATCAATCCACTCCTTTGGAGAATTTGTACAATTTATTATTATACTGCAATATTTCACCACTACTGCTCTCCGATCGACTTACACTTTGGAGCCAAGGGGGACAGAGAAGGCTGGGAGATTTCGGAGCCGTACAATGATTATCACAAAACTGGAATTGCCCTGGTCGTATCTGGTAAAGAAAGGACAAGGGGAGGGAAGTTACTATTCACATTTTTATGGATGAACAGGAACATTCGCTTTGCTGCTCACTTACCTGAGTCCTATTTGTACCTGGGCAGCTTCTAGAGTTGTTGCATCGTCTTCACTATATACAGTGTCCTCCGTTTCGTTTGGTCTAGGGCAAACAGGCAAATACTCACATTTAGGAATGTGTAGGAATTCAGAAATGTGTACACAGAACATATATACATTCTGCTAAATATGCTGATTTCATTACAGTGTGTGCTCCAAATGAGAATTTCAGAACCTTGCAATGGCAAGGCCTCTTTTAGGGAGAGTTTCCAGAGAAAGACTCATGACATTTCTTTAGCATTTCTTTAACCCCCTGAACACAAAATTGGAAGTTGAAGTTTCTAACAAACATCAGAACATGTGTAGACTGGACACAAAATACTGCTCTGGAGAATGTTTGAGAAGCAGCAGCTCTGTAAAATGAAGAGGTTTCTGTGCAAACCAGAAGCATCTTTCCTCTGAGCCTGTTTTCAGAAGCATTCGAAGAACTAAAGGGGCTCAAGTCTTGCAGCTGAAGAGCAACTCTAGCGGCGAATGGAATTACAGAGAATCCAGGTGGCAAAATAATTTCCAGTGGTTTTCTGGGAGGTTTGAGCGAAGATGCGGTATCAATGCCTTTCATTGATTTTTAAAACCAGACTGGTGGGATCAATAAACAAGATCAAGATAGGAAATGTCAAGCTAGGAAATGTGGAGAATGACAACACAGACATCCCGTGCCTTATCAAGACACGACAGCGTTATTTTAAGACTGAATTTAGAGGTTTCTTTTTTACTGTTCCTCTCCTGACCGATGGCTAATTTGATAGGCTGTATTTATTTCCTCCCCTGCCTTAAATTGCTTAATACAAAGGGCTGGTCTGTACAGCAGAAATCACTGCACTGTAGCTTCAGGAACACGCTGACAAATTATAAGTTATTCCACATACAGTGTTCATAAAGACACTTCTAAACGTAAGCAACTCGCACAGAGACACTCGTTACCTCTTCACCATTTCCTACTCAGCAAGAATGAAGAGTATCCACACCTGGAGCTATCAGGGAATAACTAGTGTCTGTAAATCTCAGCTTGTAAAAAAAAAGGCAATAGTTTCCTTTTGTATGCAGGTTTGGGGGACACAACTGTTGTCTTTGTCTTTTCATGAGCCAAGACAGGAATTTGTTCTGGTTTGCAGCTTCCCCAGCTAAAGGGGGCAGCTAAAGGCTTGCTCCACAGAACGTCCACCACTTTTGGTCCAATGTCTGTCCATTTTTATCTGGGCTTATAACCAGAGCAGGGGACAAGCTTTGATCAAAGAAGCTCAGAACGGAAACAAAATTGAAAGACAACAGCGGTTATTGAACCAAAACACACCCTCACAGCCACTCAGCAGAGTGAAGGTGGAGTTTTTAATAGATGGGAGTTTATTTCAGCCTGAGAAAGTTACATTAGGGTAAACTGAAGATCTGGAGCAAAGCAATACTAGGATTCAGAGTTTGGGGTGAAATACAGGTTCCTGACCTAAGATGAGGTTGAACAGCCACTGTAACACGTCAAGAGAAATCCTTTTTGTATTTCAGCTTTTTTATTTGGTCCCATCTATTTTATTACTTTTTAATTTGTGAAAGACTTGATGCGTAGAAATAATTTTATCAGAGGCCACTGAAACCCATGTATGATACCATGATGCACCTTAGTTCATTGCCTCAACTGCCACGAAACAGACACTATTATATGAACTGATATGAATAATCCCATAGAAGTTATGTCTTGTCAAAAAGCACCAACAGCAAATATGTTTCTTGTGTCCTGTGAAGCATGAATATTAAACTAAGGATTTTTTTTACCTTTCCTATATCCTCTTTTTTTTTTCAGAGAGAAAACACGCAAGCAGAATGTCGTGCAATCTTAAGATTGCATCTAAACAAAACAAGAAGTAAAAAGAGTCACTCTGAGTAGAGTCAGCGCAGCCACTTGACAGAACCTCTACATTTTAAACACAGCTTTCTGCCTAGGAAAACTTCTAGCAAGAAAACAACCCCAGGATTAGAAGGTTGTGTATTAATGCTACTCGACCCATTTATGCAAGCAGTGTAATGCGAATTTGTTAGCTTAAAAAAAGCAATCAAACTTTACTGTTTGATTGCCTTCCTTTCAATATGAAGAAAACAAAGGATAAACTGCTTATGCTGGTATTATGTAATTGCTTATAGATATATATTTTTTTTTTTCATTGTTTCTCAAACCTACTGTTTGACAGAAGCTTCATAGACACCGCTGTCTCCAGCTACGGACTCATCGGACACGGCAGCAGAGACACAAGCTGTTTTCTCCTCCAGCAGGTGAGCGGCCGTTCTGCGGGGTAAGTCAACGCCTACAAAAAGGAAGGAGAATGAACGAAAATTAGTCCCAGAGATTAATAGTTGGGAAGAGAGAGGTGTGGAGCTCAGGAAGTTGTCAAGCCGGAGGCGGTGACCCTTAACGGAGTATCTCAGAGTAGTTTTGTTCCACATCATTACACGTTCCAAGGCCGTGCTGCTGTTACCACGTGTTCTGGCGAGGGATATAGCCAAACTGATGAACTTGAAAGTGCACAACTATTATTCCTTCCCGGAGATACAGGCTCCTATCACCACCCCTGCACGTTGAGCTAGCTATTATCCTTCATTATCTTCATTATTAACCCTCGTTATCCTGATCTTTACACCCATATTTGCCGTGTTCTCATTCTGTGCTGTAGTAACACTTCGGCTGCACACAAAGTGATTGCCTGCTGTTTATTAAGTAGTCACCAGTCAGACAGACACCCTCTGGAAAGGAAAAATCCCCTCTGGCTTACCATCATCAAAAACTTTTTACTCTTTACTATCAACTGCAACTTTGCTGTGATTTTCCACTCTCATTTATAGGCTGGCGTTGGGCGGTGAAGCAGCAGCAGCAGCACAGAGAGCCACGTTCTGCAGCAGCAGAGTCAGTTGAGGCCCGATACGGTACTTTTATTACACTTTATGCATGATGGTCCCCGCCTGAATCATGACTTTACATCTAGTTAAGATGTTTAAAATATAAGGTTTCAGATTAGATGATTGACTGCTGCATTTGTGCTTTCATTTATGGCAGCAGGAATGCTTTTTTCCGTGATGAAGAAGAGCTCTTTCCTTTCCCCTCCATCCCCGCACGAGGGGTGAAGGCGATGACATGATTTATTGATTACCCTTAGGAATTACCCCAGCAGCCTGGGCTGACTTTGACAATGACAGGGACTGACTGTGGAAGATCTAACATGAGATTCCAACTTGGTTTCTGACAGCGGGGACACGTGCAGGAGAGCAAATATCTGTCTGGTTCACCTGTACAGGAAAGTCAGAGACAGGGGAGCAGGTGAGAACTGCATCTAAAGAGCCAAGGCAGATTATTACAGCCAAATAGCAGCTATACCAGCTCCAGGTGTGTTTCTCTACCTCTAAGTTAAGATTGAGCAATATTCAAATTTGTAGGCTTGTAAAACTTGTATTTTCCATGCAGGTTTTGAGCCTCCAGCCCAGTGAGTTGCAAACCTTCCCATTAAGTATCACAGGAATTAAACTGGAGTAGAAACACCGAACCAAGCCCAGGTCTGTGTCTCTGCTGAGGTACTGAAGCCTCACCACGAGGACCATTTCAAATGTGGTTGTTTGGGCAGTCTTAATACAGATTTAAAGATAATTTGCATCATATATAAGACCCTACATGAGAAAGTGTCAGTATAAAGAATCACAGGATGAATCTATATTTTAAAATTATAACTAACTACTTAAAAACTTAAAAGACACCCTGACACTATCCGGAATAACAGGTCCTCAAATAAGCTCAAAAATGTTAGACAACCAAATGATGCCTTTGAAAAGAATCATAAATAAATTTTAAAAAAATAATAATTCTGATTCCTCAGAGCCCAATGTGTTCCCAAATTCCAAACCATCTCAAATTCATTTCTCAGACTAGATGAGTTGCAGCCAGACCAAAAGCTGTTGATTTGGGAAGGATATGCTGCTGAAATGTGTGTAGGAAAATTAGTTTTTTTGGTTTTTTTTTTTTTCATCTTTTATATATGACTCTAAAGCAAAATAACACCTGTGTTCCACTGTACTGAAAAGACAAAGGACAAAATTACTCCCTCCCCCCTCAAATGCATTTCCATGTTTTTCCACTTTGCATTTCACAGGTTCAGACCATTAGGACATCACTCAATTTCTTTTTTAATTTCTGCACAGTTGAACAGAGTCTCCCCTGGCTCCCAGTATACCCACATTTGTCTTCTGGTGCCACATTGCTCTGGTCACTATTGAAATTACTACAGTACTGCACTGAGTTAACCTAGTTAACCAACACATGTGTGTGTGTATATATATATATTTACATATATATGTATTTACATATATATAATATATTTTCTATATATATATGTAAAAATAAAAGCAAATTTCTCATTAAAACATATGTCTGTATCAGTACATCCAGGTGTTTTTATTATAAACTGGCAAACTCCAGGCACAAGACTTCAAGCTTGGCAACAAATCTGGACAATGCACTCCCAGTTCTGTTGTATTTATTCTAAGAGACCCAAATTCCTCCGTGAGCTGCTTTACTACCAACTCAGGCCCAGAAATGTGGAACTGGGTATGGGAGATGCTGATCTGGTTTCTAATAGGGCCGCCAGTGCTCAGCACTGGTGGAAATGTGGCTCCCTCAGCTCTTCCTTGGCAAACCAGAGCCCTTGCCTAACATCAACACAAAGGGTTTGCAACCTACTTAAAGAACAACACTAGAAGAAGTCAATAAAAGTGCAGAAAAAGCACAACACAAGGCAGCAAAGTCAACCCTCTAAGACTGAGGACAGGCCATCAGTTCTTGACAGCTGGGATTTCTGAAGGTCTGACGCTGCCAAAGGCTTTGACCATATAAGACAACTAAATATGTCTTTTACTGCAGACTAGAAGTGGAATTCATGACACCTAATTCAGCCACCCCAAAGTGAAAGTCAGCCAGTTACTAAGGATACTTACTTAAGTAAGGATCAATATTAATTTGATAGCTCACAAGGTCATTCAACCCATGTTCTTTAAAGGGAAGTATGTTTTAGGATAAGATGACCCATCCTTCTGGATGCTACCCACAGGTTGCAGGGGGAGCCTAGACTAGCTCAGGAGCTCTGTGCTAACTGGGGTGGATAAAAAGCTAAAAAGCTATGAAATCCATGTTAAAAATGGGGAGAACGTCACCATAACTTACATGGCACATGGTCACCTGTCCTTCTCAATGAACTGCAGATCCTTCAGCGACAGCAGGTTCAAATAACTTGATATACACACACTCGCAAAAATCCTAACTCTTAAGTCCAGGAATCTCTTTTACTGAGGGTGTCAGTTTGTAAACTCATTCTACAGTGAGAAACAAAGTACCTGATTTCTAGTTACCAGAAACCAGCAGAGGGTGTTTTAGCTCTATCCCCACGCATTCCTGACAATACCTAGGGGACCCTGTCCATCCGTGTCTTCAAGATCCAGTTTTTTTCTGCTCATTTTTCACGACAGAGTCTGCAATACAGGAGCTCACCTTCTGAGGTAGCTACAGAAGAATGTAGTTGGAATCGGGGGGATCACAGCTCTCTGCACGCAAAACTAGAAGTTTTTACTCCCTCAGAATTACTGACTGCCCACCATGGCAAAAGTATGTCCATCAAGATAATCTTCAGTTACACGAGGTACCTTCCCACCTAAGAGCCAGCTGTTAGTGCAAAATTGTCATGTAACACATATATTCGACATTAGATTTATTTCATTACCTGAACTTCCTTCATGTAGAGAAGGCAGAGGCTGCCCAATGCCTTCATTAAGATCTTTATCATCTGGAGGAATCCGAGATCCTGCTCTGGCTTCAGAGTCCAACAATATTTGGTTCTCACAGAGACTAATGCCGGCAAAATCACCCGAAATGCCACAGTCTTCAAAGTCCGTAGTGAGGTGATGCAGAGGGGAATTTTGAGTCGACACGGAAAACGCAGTTTCTAAAACCAAAGGGGAGCCTGGGGGGGACAAGGAGGACAGCGAGGACCTGGAAGAAAGCGACGTCACGGATTTGGGAGGTTCAGTCAATTTGGGATGGTCTGCAGCTGAAGGAGAGTCACTGTAACCCAGCCTCCCATGGGAACCCACCACTTCGTTCTCATGGATAGTGGTGATAGGCCCCGAAGGGATGTAACCACTTTTTTCTTGCAGTATGAAGTCGAGTTTATACTGATAGTCCAAATCCGTTATTTGATCCCCTTGGTTATAGTAGAGCTCTGTGGAGCTGAGGGAGTTCAGGGACCCTCTGCTTGAGGTGTTCAGGGACCCCCGGCTGGATGCCAGCGACCCCAGACTGCTCCCTGAAGACACAGATAAGGTACTTGCTGAGAGGCTGCAGAGAAAGCACAAACAGGCTGTGTGTTACTAAACCAAACCAGCACAAAAGGGTACAAAAGGGAGAGATAAGACTGACAGAAGCTGTGCTATAACGATTTTATAACCATTTACAACTGAATGCTGCTTGGGGCATTAGGTTTTTGAAGCACCCGTACCTGGCTCAGACCAGTGCCCAACCCTCATGGACTAACGACCAAAGAGACTGAACAAAGCCATCGACTTGAAAAATTTTGCCACTGGACTAGAAAACTGCCTTTACCAGGATAAAAAGACCCACAAGTCCAGGGTACAGTCCAGGAGTCAGAGAAACTCTTCCCCAGGACCAGTTACATGCATCATTAAATACCAGAACTCCCATCAGAGCAATGAGTTTGAGTTGGCTGTGACTGATGACTTTTTTGTTACCACTATGAATTTCATAAACCCCGAGTCAGATTCTGAATCAATGACTGTCAGGAAAAAGTACCCTGCTGAGGGTGCTGCTCTGTTGCCAGAAAGCGCAAGTCAGCGTTGAAGAAAAAAACCAGAATCAACTATTCACAGAAATATTTACACACATACATGTAGTCACTGAGCCTCTCCAGTTATCACACAGAATAAAGCTACAGTTCTGATAGTTCTCATTTTACACAGAACTCTGAGAAACCATTTGGTCTCCTCAATGACAGCATTTTGGAGCTATGACCAATTAGAGAATTCCCACTTTATTTATTTACTTGCACAGAAGCAAAATAACGTCTCCCTGCTTAATTATAGAAACTGCACAAAAAAAATCCATTCAATCCAGTCTTGAGTGCTCACTGAAATTATGAAAGTACACTGGGTTCGTATGGTGGCAAAAGCCTTGAAGCTATTAGACTGGCATTTTCTTACTTAAATATTAAATTTTGTTCAGCTTCCAGCTAAGAGAAGAAAACCAACTATGAATGAAGTTTAGACAGCCAGGTCAGACTGTTGCTGAAAACAGGCTTTACCTTACACAGTACAACCTCACAGAATCACAGAATGATATGGGGTTGGAAGGGACCTCTGGAGATCATCTCCTCCAACCCCCTGCCAGAGCAGGTCCACCCAGAGCAGGTTGCACAGGAACGTGTCCAGGTGGGTTTTGAATGTCTCCAGAGAAGGAGACTCCACCACCTCTCTGGGCAGCCTGTTCCAGGGCTCTGCCACCCTCAAAGTGAAGAAGTTCCTCCTCATGTTTAGATGGAACTTCTAAATGTTCTAAAGTCTAGATGTTCAAGTTTGTGCCCATTAACCTCTTGTCCTGTCACTGGGCACCACTGAAAAAAGACTGGCCCCACTCACCTCCTAAGTTGTGAATGCAAATACGTAGTTAACTTCGTAGTTTCTTCAAGTTTCTGTACCAACTCTTTTCTTCTCTCCTCTAGCTTCAATCTGGAAAGAAAGGAACGTGTAAGTACAAGAAAACATTACAAAATAAGCCAGAAATGCTTATCAGCACCAGAAATCAGCCAGACTGAAATATTTCATAGCTAGGACAGAAACAAAGTGAAGAGCCCTCATATTTTAATCTGGCTGCCAACTCCTAAAATCCAGCAGACTGTGTTAACTCTCAGGCCCATCGTAAAGCCCCGAGCTCCTTCAGCTGAGTGTCTTTACCTGCAGAATTTTAAGCATGGTAACAAACCTGGGGAGTGTCTGAGCCAGCAGAATGTTGGTACAGTCACACCGCGCCGAGGGGAGCACACGCCAAATAAAAGAGGAAGAGATGAGCACTGGGAAAAGAGCCGCAACTTTGGGACAATAAGATCTGCACTAATACAGGTTTTAAAAGCATCCTCACTTAATATCATTTCAGGGAAAAAAAACCCCAACAAACAAAAGAACATTAATACCAGCATTAATTCTGATAATGCAAGAACTTGGGGCAGCACCGCAGGAAGTTTAAATTTAAAGCACTCCCTTTGATTTTAGCATCTTCATCTAGAGCCAGAGCACAGTAAATCAAAGCATGAGGTTCTGAGACACTGCATCATATTCAGGAGTCCTTGGTAAAGATTTCTACATCCCCAACAGCTTTGTCATGGCCTCAGAGCCACACAGCATCCTAATGCTCATTATCAAGGTTATGAAAAAGGAGAATTTATTACTTCCTGCACCGTTATCCAGCCTAACTCTAAAACCACAAATGGTAGAACTCTCCCCCCCTTCCTTTTGGCTGGCTGCAAGCAGAGAGGATTCACTAACCTGTACAGTGATTTCTTTCCTTTTATAATTCCCTTTTATCACTCCATTTACAACACCAAATAAATTGCTTTCCCTTAGTGGATTCAGCTAAAACCCTCCTGTAGTTGTGGATTAATATATTCTCCTCTAGCCCTTGCTCAGTCAAGTGACACATGTCACAAGTTCTCAAGCAACGAATCTGAGGGACAAGAAATTACCTCCCCTCCTTTAAAAAAAGAAAAGAGGAAAAAGTTTGATGTTCATTCTCAGAAACCTTTTCTTTGCCCTTTCTGGCATCTCAAGGATGTATGAATTAATATTCAAATGCAGAGAACACTTCAAAGAACAAAAAAAGCCCAACAATAACAAAAAAAAAAATCAACCATTGCTTTCTTATGCAAACTGAATGAAATAGCCGGGAGTTCCCAGGATTCCCTCTCTTTGAGCGCCAGATACCAGCAAAAAGACATTAAGTCCTCAGTGCAGCAAAGCATGAAAAGCACTTGCTTACACCCAGGCTTATTCAGGGAGCAAATGTGGGTTATGCAAAGGTGAAGGAGTTACCCTGAGGTCAGGCAGGGTGCGAGCTTCTCCTCTGCTGCCTCTGCTCTCCCCCCCAGCCCCGCGTCCGGCTGCCACTACCTTGAGCTTCCCCTCCGCTGCCTCTGCTCTCCCCCCAGCCCCGCGTCCGGCTGCCACTACCTGCTAAATCCAGCAAAAGCACACACGGGTTTCCAAACCAAGAGTTATGCTCATCTCTGTTATCAGACACCTTTTCCTATCATTTCACTATTTATCATCACCTTCTGCCTTCCTTTAAAGCCCAATCTATCCCGCTTTCCCCAAGCAAGAGCACTCTTCACTTAGTCTTCTGTGGCTTTTCAACAGTGAACTCTCATTTTATACTCAAGGAAGAAGCACAAAAAATGCTGTATGTGTTCAACTACTATTGGAAAAAGGCAAGAAAAAAAAAACCAACTTAGGAACTTGTCTGACTGGAGTACACCTATTCCATGGAATTTGCACTATTAAACTAAAAGGTTTGTTTGGGTATTTTTCTCCAAAGCACAAGGATAAGTTTGTTTTCCTTTATTATCTCAATGAGGTTGATAAAATGTAATTTATCCCATATATCTCAGCTCCTGAAAAAAAAAAATAAATTCTTTCCTGGCTGTAATTTGATCTAGTGCTAATTACTACTAGTAATTAAAGTAGTAGTATTAATACCTGTAGGTAAGTTTCAGAAAGATGTTAGTCCCAAACACAAGGTAGATGATGAAATCACTCCTGGAAGTTCCAAGAGACACAGGAAACAATTCCACTATCTCACAACAAATTGAGATTCAAGGACTTTTTTTTTTTTCATTCTATATCAGGCCAAACTAAAAATATAAAACAACCAGAACTTTCAGACAATGAACCTTCCTTCTTTAAAGCACAAGCAGGAACATTAATATCCCAAAGACCATGTAAACATCTAAACCACCATCGTGTTACCTGTTCTGACATCCCTCCTGTTTGCACCCCTCCTGTTAATTAACCCATCACTCATTGTGGGAGCAACTTGAACGTTAGTGAGACATCTTTCTCCAGTTCTGATCTTAAACTGTAACATTGCTGAGAGGGGCAGAGAATCTTAAATAAATAAAAAAATACATGAAAAGTGCACATACCTCACCTTTCAATGCAAACTCATGTGGACTTGTTTGCTTATGGCAGGCACAAGAGCAGGGGCCAGTTGTACACAATCAAGCCGTTAAATCACGCCTCTCTCTAAATTACTGAGAAGACTGTGATTACTTAGAAGAATTTGCCAAGGACTAAAGCAGGACTGGAATCTCCCTGAGATGAACACAGAGGCAAGAAAGCAGCAAATAGTTCTCAACAGTTCCACAATCTGGATATTTCTGTCCAGTTGCTGGAAGGCTTCTTAAAGCAGTCAGAGTATGCCCCCTCCCTGCTTTTTTGAGGCTGATTCGTTCTGATTTACACCCTCCTCCTGTGAATTCATTCCAAGTACAGCTACTAGTGGCAATTTCAGCATCCTGCTCCAAAATAACCCAGGGCTATGCTATGATGCTTTTAAATCAGAGCAAGTCTTCCGTTTCTTCCCCCTCTAGAAAAAAATACCTAAAAAAACCCCAAAAGCCAAACCAAAATAAAAAGCTCTTGTCACAGGAAGCTCTGACAGAGTCTATAGCTTCTTACACTGTCGCTTTGTTATCAGTCCCTGTGAAAACACTGGAAACCTATAGCATTCATCAAACTTCACGAAATAAAATAGTGATACAACAATAGTTCAACACTTTGGAGCTGGCGTGGCTCCTCCACCGATGATGGAGAGGAGAATCTTCCTCATCTCCAAGAATTAAAGTGTTGATGGTCAATGAGATACAATTAACTGTATCCTTTTCTTAAATTAACATTTTAGGAAAAGTGTCACCCTCTGACTCCTTCTACAGAACGAAAATTTTCTTTATGTTTATAGCAGACCATTTCAGGAAAAGTTTCACCCTCTGACTCCTACAAAACGAAAATTTTCTTTATGTTTATAGCAGACACACCAGAAATAATCCTCAAAATAGCTTAGTGTGAATGAATTGATGTGCTCTGATGTCATCAAGGGAGACAGTTTTAATATCATAAAACTAGAAATTCACTAGAGATTCACTGGAATGGCAAAAAAGCAAAACAGGCACCATAAATACTACCTCAAGCAGCAATATATGACATGAAATCCTACTGCAACCTCAGGAAAAAATTCCACATTTTCAGGAATGAAAATCAAAAGGAAAAAATTTGAAGAAAATAGAAGGGGAAAAAACCCCAAAACTGTAATAACTAGTTGTGTTGGAAAAAAATCATTTCTTCTCAACAGTGGGAGACAATTTTACTCGCCCTTGGTACTCCAAGTTTGGCATCTGCCATGTGTGGGAAAATGGTCCCGTGCAGAATTTTCCTTGGGACTAAACAAGCGAATCCAAAACACAAGACGAAGAAACCAGCTCCCTATTTACAGCATGAGTCAAGATTTAGCCATTATTTACAACACTGCGTTATTACAACCTTAGATTTGAATTATTTATTTGTGAATGTCACTTTATTATTGAGCTCTTATCCTCCATTTATTAATGGCAGTCAGAAAGCAACGGATCCATGATAATTTAGATATTACTACCACAGACAGGTAATTTCTCCTGCAAAAATAGAGAATACAACAAGAATTTAGCCATGCAGTGGAACTGGAGCACCAGGAGGTGTTTCCTCCTGGCAGAGAGAAGCAGAAAGGCTTACAGTGCTGACTGTAACACTTCAATAAGGGCACTACACCGACAGACGCAATGACATTTTGTGTTTATTGCATTTCATGTCTGCTGGAGGTGCCCATAAATTTGTTTCCACTCACAGCTGATGAAAAGTCCATTTGTGACAGTCACCTTTGATTTTCCTGAACTCTGCATCTGGCTAAAACAATTTATAGTGGGAGTCAATTCAGTTACCAGTTAGATAGCCACGAGTTAGGAAAGTTTTGCAGCAATTATACTCCTCCTCTGAACTTTTCTTTTCCCCCTCTCCTTTTGGTTGCATTTTTGTACGTAATAAAACTCACAATGAAAGGCTTCAGACGGTGCAAGAACCAAGATAATCTCTGTAACCTGAGTTCAAATAGTTTAGGGCTATTAGCAGAGAGGAGGGAATGATGCATTGCCCTCCTGCTGGTGTGTTGACATTCCTCACGTTATTTAACATCTGTCACAGGCATTTTCATGCCGGTACCAAAGGCAGAGGAACTGATATTGCAGAGCACATCCAGGGTGTTCACATTCTCTCACAGGACAGAAGGCTTCTTTGTGTTTCTGCCCAGTGGGCTAATAACAAATTTAATTAAGATCTACACAGAAGGGTTAGTGAAGGAAAAGAGCCCATCAAGGCATAGTTTGGGGTTCGTGGTGAGTACAAAGGTTGGGTCACAGAAAGCAGCGTTTAATATTAGCAGAAGACAACCCCTTACCTTTCAGCAAGTGCTTGACTGGGTGTGCTTTTTACAGACAGCAGCTCTTCTTCAAGCCTCTTCCTTTCTGCTTCCAGCTGCTCCAGCTCATCTTGAGTACGTTTGCGGGGTGTAATAAACTGGAGTTCCTTTAAAAGCTCCTCTTTTTCATTGATTAACATGAGTTTTTCCTTTTCCACATCCAGTGCCCCAGGCCAGGCTTCACTATCAAGCTTAGAGAGTTCAATCTTCAAGTTAGCCATGCTACAATAAAACACAGCAGATTTCTCTGAGCCCAGCCCAGCACACAAATCCCAAAAAGAGAGAAGCCATACAATATTTTGAAAGGTAGCAGAATATAACAACATTTTCTACTCAAAGTCACGCTTTTAATTAGTTTTTGCTTCACAAGGTGCACCCTAGACCAGAAGAGCAGGCCACTTATCCTGGCCAACAGCAATGTGCTGGCTGTATTAAATGTGTATTTAATGTGTATTAAAGCAAGTTGCTGCTGTTTAAACGCTGAGTTGAAGTCACAACCTTAATAAAAGCTTTATTCTGTCTGGTAACATCGTAGGGGCACTAAGCTTTGCTCATCTAGGAGTCTGATGGATTTCCTTGGGGCCCCCAACAGAAGGACGTGGACCTGTTGGAGGCATGCCTTAGAGGAGGGCATGAAGATGCTCTGAGGGCTGGAGCCCCTCTGCTGTGAGGACAGGCTGAGAGAGTTGGGGGGTTCAGCCTGGAGAAGAGAAGGCTTCGGGGAGACCTTAGAGCCCCTTCCAGTCCCTAAAGGGGCTACAGGAGACACGGGGAAGGACTCTTGGTCAGGGAGGAGAGCAACTATTCCATTGCTAATAGTAGAAGCTCAAGGGAAACCACCCCCATTTCATTTTCCATAGAAAACATTTCTTTCTCATCTGCACCTCAACAAAAACGCAACAGCTTCAAAAATGAAAACAACCCATATTCCCACCAAACCCCTGCAAGAAGAGTTTGTTTTGACTCAGGGTATTTTCACAGAAAAGGAGTGTAAAATAAACAGCAACACTGTCAGCGGTGCCACCGTAAGGGAACGGTGGGATGAAATGAAACGAAGCGGTTCGATATATTTCGCAGCTGTTACATCTATCATTTATATTCAACAGTCCTACCAGGGAGCAGTACTCAGAGGGAAAACCACCGAGTAATTTCAGCTGGATAATGGAATGTTAAGACTTTCATCTCCAGGTCACTGGTTCTAGCTTAACCATGCTCTGAGAGTGGCTGCTCCTGACAGCTGTTTGATGGCTTTTGGGATGGGATGGTGGTCTCCAAACAGCTCTTTTGCTCTCTCTGCTACAGACAACTCTCTGCCACTGACACTGCCACTCTTTCCAGCTGCCTCATCAGACAGGCAAAGGCCTGGATGGATAAGAAAACTCACTGGTCCCACTCTTTTGAGGAAGTCCTTGCTCAACAGGTCAACGAGGAACACTACCCAGATCTTCACCCCATCAGGACAGAATTGACAACAATCTTTTAATCCTTTCGAGTAGCAATTGCAACTGAATCTAGCATAGTTAACATCAGCATTCCACCTCTTCAAGACATTCTGCTGGGTAAGCTACATAAAACGTGCGATATACAAAATTACTGATAATTTTCAAGTAGAGAAGTTCATTTACAAGATCCTCTCTTCGTTATTTTAACACAGAACAACTATGAATTTGCACATTTAATATTTCAGAAAAGATGGTCAATACGTTATTAAATTATAGTGATCATTAAAATGGCCATAATAATTAGGGGGGATGTAATTAGGTGCTGAACTTTATGTGCAAAGTGGTATGTATCCTCGTTATTCCAAGGCATGTACACTTTAAGTTCACTGTAGTCACTGATAAGACCATCATGTGCTGGTCTGCATGGCAGACTTTAATTGGTGTCTTCAAGGCTTTTAATTGTTTTATTTAAAGCTGAAAAGAATATTTATTACTGGGCAGTTCTCAGATAAAACTGAATGAAGAGACCATCTAAAAGGAGATCATTTTAACCCTGAAACACATTAGTATTATATGGAACAAAGAGTTATGCAAAGAGTAAGTACAAAGAGTAAGTACATGAGCTACTGAAATTTTGACCCCCATTCTTGGCTGACTAATTTGTAAGGAAGTAAGATCTTGTGCTGCAGTACTCCATACTTGGAGCACTCTACTTTTTGGGAGCTTTAGGGGTGTTTTTTTGAGGTGGAAGTGGCAAACTCACTCACTGCCAGGAATTTTGTTGTTCCTACAAAGGAGAGAGAAAACACAATGCTGGAACTTCTTGGTATCAAGATATAGTCCAAACAGAGGATGATCTGGTTTTGGATCAATTATGCCTGATAAAAAACCATCATCTATCTGCATCTAAACCACCCCCTGACAATTAATATTACGTACACGGTGATTGTGAGCCCAATCATACACGTTCAATACTGAACAAACACAACAGCCTCAGTGTCCCTGGTAAGACCATCATGTGCAGATACCTTAAAGACTTTAAACGGTGTCTTCAAGGCTTTTGATTGTTTTATTTAAAGCTGAAAAGAATATTTATTACTGGGCAGTTCTCAGATAAAACTGAATGAAGAGACCATCTAAAAGGAGATCATTTTAACCCTGAAACACATTAGTATTATATGGAACAAAGAGTTATGCAAAGAGTAAGTACAAAGAGTAAGTACATGAGCTACTGAAATTTTGACCCCCATTCTTGGCTGACTAATTTGTAAGGAAGTAAGATCTTGTGCTGCAGTACTCCATACTTGGAGCACTCTACTCTTGGGGGGCTTTAGGGGTGGTTTTTTTGAGGTGGAAGTGGTAAACTCACTCACTGCCAGGAATTTTGTTGTTCCTACAAAGGAGAGGATGCTGGAACTTCTTGGTATCAAGATATAGTCCAAACAGAGGATGATCTGGTTTTGGATCAATTATGCCTGATAAAAAACCATCATCTATCTGCATCTAAACCACCCCCTGACAATTAATATTACGTACACGGTGATTGTGAGCCCAATCATACACGTTCAATACTAAACAAACACAACAGCCTCAGTACTCTTTCTTGAATGCATTGATTATCTAATAAAGTTTTATGATCTGTAATGAGGATATAAGGGATTACTGTTACCAGCAAGGATGGTAGCTACTGCTCTGTACAAGGAAGGTATATATTTGAAATTAGGCAGCCTCCTGCCTTCAAAACATAAAAACTATGCCTTTACTTTGTACTTATAAGATGCAAATTTCTTTTTCTAGTTTTCTAACTGACCACGCCACAGTACTCCAACTGAAATAATACTTAAGTATCAGATTAAATAGCATTTTAGGCACAGTTTTCATCTGGGGAAAAGTGCTATTTTTTATTTTATTGCCTTGTTTAGTTCTTTATAGTAAATGAGGAACTCTGGGTGTGGGAAAACTTTTTGGATTTCTATTGTCCTTAAATTACAAAGCACCTCCATAACAAAACTATAAGGTTTCTGAACAGCTGACACTTAAATTTTGTGAAAAGTATTAGAAAATAATACAATACATTACTAATAAAGAGATATCACCCCCACACTTTTTTTTTTTTTTTTAAAATAGTAAATCTTCCTTTGGTATTGTACAGCAATTCTGTTTTTAGTAACCCTGAATGTTCTGCTTTTGGATGCCCATTCTTCAGTGCTCTGGCAATTCATCAAAACTGCACTGCTTTCATGAGCAACCAGGGCAGAGCTTTATTTGAAAAGCATTCCACATTCATCAGTGGAGCAGTTCCCAATTTCTCTTCTCCTCAGGTTTAACTCATTAAAAAAAACTCAACCCCATAGTGATAACAAGTATTTAAATTATCCAAAGTCCCAGGAAAAAAAAAAAAAAAGAAATAATTAAGCCTACTAAATTTGCACTGAAAGTCTGAAGCAACTCTAAAACTGAAGAGCCTTAAGTGGCGTAGTGAACTGAAATGATGATCCCAAGGAAGAATATAAAGGACATCAATAATCTGGAGACACCTTTCAGTGGAAAGTCAGGTGCTTAATCCAGAGAAGGGCAATGGAGCTGGTGCAGGGTCTGGCACACAAGTCTTATGGAAAGCAGCTGAGGGAGCTGCTGGAGAAAAGGAGGCTGAGGGGAGACCTTCTCGCTCTCTCCAACTCCCTGAAAGGAGGGGGTAGCTGGGGGGGTCGGTCTCTTCTCCCAAGGAACAGGCCATGGGACATGAGGGAACGGCCTCAAGTTGCACCAGGGGAGGTTTAGGATGGATATTAGGAAACATTTCTTCACAGAAATGGTTATCAAGCATTGGGACAGGCTGCCCAGGGAAGTGGTGGAGTCACCATCCCCGGAAGTATTTAAAAGATGGGTAGATGTGGTGCTGAGGGACATGGTTTGATGGTGGTTTGGGCAGTACTGGAACAACAGCCTGACTCAATGATCTTAAAGATCTTTTCCAACCTAAACAATTCTAATCCTGGAGCTGCCATTGATTTGTCACTGTCTGCATTTTCTTTCTTAACACATTCAACTTCACATTGAATGTAAAACCTACTGTTCAAAAGCACGGGCTGCTCCCGAAAGCCTGCTTGTGTTGGGAAGGGAAAGGGACCCTGCAGGATGCCCACAGTGCCAACAGAGAGCCACCCACTAGATGTCACTGCAAGCACAAGGTTGGTGCTGCAGAGACCAGGCACCTTCCCAGCTCCAGGCCACAACTCAACAAAGCAACGAACCCTATTACCTTCTTTTTGCCTCTTCATATTGAAGACTTAGTCTGACCTTCTCGGCTAAATTTGATCTACTTCTTACTCCAACCTGTTGAGAAAAAATAAAATTAAATAAAAATTAGCCTCATTACTGTGTAAAGCTGTTAAATGAACTAAGAAAGATCTACGCACAGGCTAGAAAAATCACAACATAAAAAATAAAACCACCCCCACCTCCAGCCATACATTTGCCGTTAAATGCCTAGTTAGGCATCTACTTGGATGTACAAAAAAAAAAGTGCTGTTTTTTTTTCTGATCCAGTTCATCTGGTTTTAACTACTGTACTACCCATTGTCCAGAGTCCAGAGTAAAGCAAAAGATTTCTTTCTAAGAAATCTTGCAGTCATTGCACCCAAAATTTTGATCTCCTCCTTTAAACTCAGAATTTGGAACTAAGTCAGTGCATTTCAAAGTAAGACTTCAATAACTTTGCTATGAAATTGCACAGAGCCCAGAGTAAAACAAGAGAGTCTTCTAAGAAATCTCGCGGTGATTGCACCCAAAATTCTGATCTCCTCCTTTAAACTCAGAATTCAGAACTAAATCAGTGCATCTCAAAGTAAGACTTCAATAACTTTGCTATGAAACATAGACAAGCTTAGCTCCTTGTTTGGAAAACCTTGTATAGTCTCTTCCTACAAACTTAGCTCACAGAGCTTCAAAGAAGTTATCAAAACGAAGCACAGCTTTCTGTGTATGTTAATATAAAGCATCAGTGAAACAGAGAAGTTTTTAATCCATCACTGAACAAGTTCCACCAGTTTTCAGCTGCGTGAAATGAAATGGCACCTTTAAATTCTGAGATCTTGTTTCTGAAAATTAAAAACATCTCTTCGCATTGAATTAAGTCTGGAAGGTGAAACATACCCTACACACAGATCCAAAAAAATACTGTCAAATTATGCTGATCTTCACTGTCCTGGAACTATTTGATTAAATCAAATTGTCATAAATGCATAAAAAAATTCAGCTCTATTTAAAATTTAAGGGGAAAAAAATCAGATAACTGATAACTGAAGTAATTATCTCTTATATATGTATATATGTACACCTGTCAGCAACAGTAAACAACCCTTCGGTTCCGATTCCATTAACGGCAGCTTTCTGATTCAGTTTCTCCTGGCATTTGACAAACTGGAAGAGAGCTCACCTCCCCAGAAATGTCAGTCTGAGACCCTGCATCCAGAGTTTGTCTGGAAAAACACAGCTGGGAGTTTACGGAGCTGGAACTCAGGTCTGGTTCAGACGTCTCGATGGTCTGCTCAAGATTGAATTTCTCTCTCAGCTTTGCAAGACTCTGTCCAGGAAACAAAGAAGGAGGTGGTGTTAAAGTTCCTTTGTATTTCACCATGTTTCTAGCAGTTTATCTCCACAAAGACATTTACATAAAAGACTCCAATGGGCAACTTAGATTTGGATAACTTTCATTGAGTTAGAAACTGTCCATGCACCTCAAAAACATGTCTCATTTTGTCCACTTAATAATTTAAATTGTGGTTTATAGGTAAAATCTGCATTGTGCCTTGCACACAAGTTCAGAAATCTCTATTGTCTGACCGACACATAGCAGTTTTTTGAATTAGGAAAGTCACTGGCTTCAGTTTCGGCATCTGAAAATGGATTTTAATACCAGGTTGGGCTCAAAGAGTTTTGAGAATCCCTTAAAAAGTCAAAAATGCAAAGTATATATAATCAGGAAAGTTACTCATGTTAAAGGAAATGCACACAAAATTTATGTCAACTGTTCAAAGTACCTTCATTAAATCTTGTTTTTCCCTCTCCCCTGAACTGATGGCCTTTCTGATGGACTTCAGTTCACTCAGGATGGCTTTGGCCTCACATAGTTCATACCCGCTGTGGCCTCCAGACATTTTTTGGTCAATTCTGTGGAAAGAGAGAATGTTAATACTGGATACAAAAAATAATATCGACATCTCTGCTGTTCTGCTTCAAGCAGAAGCATAACTAGTGAATAGAAGGGAAGGAGATAAGAGATACCATTTCCTGTAACAGAAATGCAAAGAAGAAAAAGGACGTTGAAGTCACCATTAAAATATTTACTGCTTAATCCTTGGCAAAAATGTCAAGCTAACACATACCCAGTGCCCAGTGGATGGGTTTCGCTGACAGCAGGAAATTGCATGGAAAAATGCTTCTGTTGGCTTTAAAACCACCTCAGCTAAACTACCAGGGCCTTACCAAAGGCAGAGACTCCACGAGCAATTCTAGTTCATCCAGTTCTTAAAGACATAAGGGCACAGAGCAACTAAAGACTCCTCCCAGGAGTGAGCGTAGAAGAATTGCTGGCAACGTGGTCAACGTTCCCATCCCCACCATAACTCTGCAGCCCAGAAGCAGCTTTTGGGTACACATTTCATACCCTAAACTGTTTGTGATCCTTATAGGATCAGAATTTATTAGCAATATTCCTTTACCCAGACGCCACATCATGACACGGGCAGACAGACCAGCTTCTTGGTACGCATCAGCCTGGCAAGAGAAGAAACAGAACCAGCTCCATTCCTGTCTCAGCTTCCCTCTCCTTCACCATAATCCCAGGCATTAACAGTCTGGTCTGCCCAGCCAGTCACTAGGCTCCCTTTTATTCACAAAATTTCTGGATAAATAATACCGTATGTCATACACCCGACAATTTATTAAATTCCTGAACTATCAATGCATAATAACCTGTAACTTGAAAATAACATAACAAAAAAAACCCCCAAACTTAGAGATAAAAAGATATTTCATTTTAGTATTTCCTTCTATACTTCAAGAAGTACAGTTTGTAAAGACACTTCTCCGGCCTCCAGTTTAACTGAATATTTCATAGCAGCATAGAAATGACTGCAGCTGTGCAGCACAAAATTAAAAACAACAGCCATCTTTACAGAAGTCAAGCATCTCGCAGAGAATACATTCTTTTATAATGCAATTGGGTCTCCTTTTTTATCATCATCCATCATCTTTGCTAGAAGACATTAACCTTGTGAGTGAGGAGTGAACAAACGTTTTAATGATCAGAATTGATCACGAGCGTCCCCCTGCAAGAACAGAACCTCCAAGAAGCACCTCTAACTATTCTGTTTTACTTCCAGCTCCATGCACAAAGGTATCGTGGTCTAAAGTGGTCTGCAGAGCTGTGAGCACGTCTGTTTTCCTTTCCTCACATTTCAGTTTTTGTACAAACTACAACTGCATCTGTGTAAGAAAATTACGTATGTGACTCAGCACTCGGATTCCTATTCAAGGATGTTATTTGTTTCGGCTCGAAAGTTCCTCAAACTCTTTTCATAGCTTGGCACACACTTACTGTCTGACAACACTCAATTTTTGGTAACTTATCAAGTTGCGAAGGTCAAATAGAGACAGGATATGCCAACAATTGGGATCATGAATGAAGAGCTGGGTAATACACCACATGCTGCCTGGTAATATGACGTGCCACATTCAAATCACAACTGCTTTATTCTGTATATAATTAAGATGGACAAGAAGGATCTCTGACACACAAGATATTCCATCTTCCTGTTTTAAATTAATGGGATTAGTGCTGTTTGAAAGTGGCTGACTGAATTTTAAAAACAAACGTCCATTGTGTTTCTGTGGAATGCTGTTGACAGTTTCTGAAACATGCTTTGGATTCCTATCAAAATGGCTTGTGAGCAAGCTGCTTTAAAACAATACTTCATTGTTGAATTAATATAATAAAACCAGCATGATTGGCTAACCTTTAATCCTGGGACAGCAGCATGAGTTTTTATTACCTTAAGCTTTAGAATCAATACATCTTTCTTCTTCTAAATTTTGCTTCCAATGAAATCTGATTTATGGTTAAATAAATTCAATCAGCTATCCTTCTCTCCCGTCGCTCCTCGCTAGTCTTCATATATTTAAATAACAAACAAATCGTACATTTCTGTGAGCCAAAATGAAGGAGGACAGACACTTGACTGGCATCCTCCTGAGGTGCTGAGGATATTCAGTTCCCAATTGATTTCCAACTCATCATACCAGAAAAAAATTTTTTTGTCCATTTTGACATGTATCTAGCTATGATCAGCCATTTCCTGGACCAGATTTTTTTTCTCCTACTTAAAAAATTATAAATAATCCCACTGAATAGAACTGATCTACTAAAATATACAGGCAATAGCCTGATCTACTAAAATATACAGACAATAACCTATGACATGTTTGGGTTAGAACTGGCAACTGAACCCCAGTCTCTCAACTCTGAACACAGATGTTCTGTCACTCTTTGCAAATTCGCATTTTAACAATCTACCCAAGAGATGGAAACACACTTCCTTTCTCCTCCCTTTTGTCCATCCTCCCTCTATATTCTGCAAGTTCTCCAGGACAGAGATTATTACTTATCTGACAGTTACATCACTGTACACAGGGGGTCCTGAGAAAAAGGGTAAATGAATCCAGACAGTATTACTGGAACTCAGGTACTAAAAGCACACAGCTCAGCAATTCACTGTGTAGATGCATCCTTAATGTATGGGCACATACCACAATATGGAAAACAACCAGCACTAATATATTTCTGTTGACATTAGTCAAGAAAACACGCTTGTTAGCAAGGTCTCCTCTGCAGCAAGTTCTCTGTGGTGACAGTTCCAGCAATGTTTAATATTTTAGGGCCCAACTCTGTAAGTCAGGAGCAGCAGGGAGTGCTCCAACTGAAAAAAATAATTCATTCCCTAATAATCCAACTGGTTAAATACCCAGAATGCTCACCCGGTTCAGCATCAGCCCTGTGGACACCAGGCATCCCAGCAACTGGAACAAAATCAGCCAGGTCCCTAATCCCCAAATTGTGACTCATTTCAAACCCTGTGCAGTTGTGCCCCATTTATACCTCTGAGAACAGCATCCTCCTCTCTCTCTTTCGAGCTCAGAGGTAGGAAGGAGGAAAGGAAGACCTAATTACTTTTTCAATTCTTTTTTTTAAAATTTCTTAGCAAAGCAGCTAAATTCTTCCTGAGGACCCTTAACTACTGCCCTTCTTTCTACGTCTTTGCAATACAAAGCAAAAAAAAATAAAATAGGAGGGGCAACAGATTTCTCATGTTAACACTTGCACAATAGGTTTGCCATTTCTACAGATCTCCTGCTTCCCAACTACAACAAAAAGAGTTATTAGATTCTCATTTTTCCCCCTAGTAATTCTCTCGCATAAGATGGATTCAACTCCATGCCAAAAAAAGAAATCAGGCGACTGAATTAAGTGAGTTTCAGCTATTTTCTTTTACTCACTGTTGCAGCGTTTCAAAGCCCTGCTCCTTGTACAGCAGCTCTTGCTTCATCTGAGAGAGTTCCCTCTTCAGCTTCTTAACCTTGGGTGTTAAATCAAGAGTTAGAAAATTCCTCTTGTTAAACAGCGTAACGCACGGCTTTCAGCAATTAATGTATTCTCTACATCAGATGAGACCAAAAAAAAAAGAGAGTAAATTGCTCTACTGACACATATTAAAAACAAAAGGATCTGTTTTCTTCCTGATGTCTATGGGCAAAAACGCTTTAGTATTAAAGGGACACAAGCAGATTAAATCACATTCCTTATTTGTATCGATACCACACTGTGTTATTAAACCTGAGAGAACTTTAACAAGTAATTTACTTCTCACTCGTTAAGCATGCATTCCAACTGTCCTACAGGGACATGCCTGTTTATTTTAAAGCTTATTATATTTTCACTTTTTCATTCCAGGAAGCTCTCAAGTCATTTGCACTGTAAAAGAAAAAGTGTGGACTCTTTCCCCCCCCAACCCATCCATCCTATTAAAGGTTTACAGACACTGGATCCCTAAATATAAAATTCCCATTCATTTAATTCAAAGGCAACAATCTCTAAACACATTTGGATCGCAAATATATGCATCTATTTAATAGAAATGCCTTTGGCAAAACATTCCCTTACTTTCCCTAAATTTGCATGCTCAATTGCTTTTTAATCTTAATATTGCTATTTCAGATATTAGCAGACATGAGTAAACTACCAAATATTTATAAATCAAGATTAAATAAAAAATCCTCCATTTATCTTTTTATGTCATACTTCCCAAACATACTAAACCAAAGTTTCTGGACCACCTACAAAGGAGTTCATTTTAACACAAATTAAAATTAATCCTCAGCATATACATAGAGACAGAAATGCCTCCTTGCAATGCCAAGTCCCAAATTTTGGTATCTATACATCTGTATCTGGCTCGTGTGCATTCTAGATACTAGCTAGATATTGTCAGGCTTTTAAACTTCCCAATCAGTAAGGTGAAAAAAGGAAAAGCTACTGGAAATTCCTTGCTCTCACTTATCACTGTGAAATTCTTGCTGGTTTTCATATAGGTCCTCAGATATTCAACTCTTTTAAAAAATGGATTCTATTAAATGAAGAATTTTGACCACTTTAACTGAAATTCATTTTAAAATATCATAGAATCGTCTATGTTGGAAGGGACCTTAAAGATCATCTAGTCCAACCAAATATGTTTCCAAGACCTTTTGTATCCAAATCCCCTTAGACTTCCTACTTGGTGCTATTCTTCAAATTAAAAAAAAAAAAAAAGTTACATTCCCAACATGCCAGGTAAAAAAAGCTACTGGAAATCCCCTGCTCTCACTTATCACTGTGAAATTCTTGCTGGTTTTCATATAGGTCCTCAGATATTCAACTCTTTTAAAAAATGGATTCTATTAAATGAAGAATTTTGACCACTTTAACTGAAATTCATTTTAAAATATCATAGAATCGTCTATGTTGGAAGGGACCTTAAAGATCATCTAGTCCAACCAAATATGTTTCCAAGACCTTTTGTATCCAAATCCCCTTAGACTTCCTACTTGGTGCTACTCTTCAAATTAAAAAAAAAAAAAAAGTTACATTCCCAACATGCCAGGTAACTTAAACTACTGAGCATCAGCAGCTGCTGTAGCTTTCCAAGAAACTTAAAATGGTTTTTTTTGGTTTAAAATAACCAGGTGTGTGCGGGGTCTTCGTATGGGTTTGTGAATGATACTTAGGCATTCGAGTTTGTAGCTTCTGGCTAATGAATTTTCTGTGACAAAAATAAAATGCTTTCAATCTCAATGTTCTCCAAAGCAAAATCTGTTCTCTAGATGAGGGGTTCGGGTCAGGCTTTCGGAAGCTGTCATCACTAGTTGCTTTACTTGACAGAAACCTGTTTTTATTTGGTACTGAATAGTTAGCATAATAAATAGGCAATGTCTCTACATACACATTCAGTGCTCCTTAACTATTTCTTCCCTGACTAGCACAAAACCCCCAAGAATAATCTCTCACGTGTTCTGATCAAGGTTATAGAAAATGAACAAGTATCACCTCTACGTTCTAGGTAAAGTAACGTGTAAAATACAAAAGAAGTGCCAACTTTTCTGAGAAACACAGAACGGCTTCAACTTTTTTTTTTTTTTTTATCAGAAATGTGAAATTAAAGTAATAGCAGAAGGCACACTTGATTTCAACTTAGAGAATTGCATCTCTCAGAAACACTTACATTTTTCCTCAAGATCATAGTCTGAGTGTCCTCTGCTGTAATTCATCATCATTTCATTATACCCCCAAGAATAATCTCTCATGTGTTCTGATCAAGGTTATAGAAAATGAACAAGTATCACCTCTATGTTCTCGGTAAAGTAACGTGTAAAATACAAAAGAAGTGCCAACTTTTCTGAGAAACACAGAACGGCTTCAACTTTTTTTTTTTTTTTAATCAGAAATGTGAAATTAAAGTAATAGCAGAAGGCACACTTGATTTCAACTTAGAGAATTGCATCTCTCAGAAACACTTACATTTTTCCTCAAGATCATAGTCTGAGTGTCCTCTGCTGTAATTCATCATCATTTCATTATCAAGAAATGTGAGTTATGCACATTATCCTAGAAGGACGTGACCTACATCATAATATAGACTCTGTGTTTACCGCATCGCGCTTGGCATTAAACTATTCTCGTGCTCCTTGTCTTCTCCTTCAAAACTTCCATATAATTCCTGCTTTTTCACAACTCTTCACTTGTTTTATCCTTCACCCCTTTCCTACTGCTGCTGCACATCATCTTCAGTCACCTGGCAGGCCCCTCGCTTCTTCCTCCTGGCTGCACCTTCAAGTGGGCTCCTGGGCTACCCAACTTCTCTTCTACCACTCGAGTACTAATGGAAAATGATAACAACCCCCCCAACTTGTTATTTGATGAAGGTGCATCCCCTGCTCGCTGCATACGCATAAAACGTGCTGTTATCTCATGTGCTTTGTGGCGTTGGAATTATCTTAGTGATTATCTTACTTCGGACCCCAAACGGCCCCACTCAAAGTCCACCACAGGATCGGAGCCTTCAATTTTAATCTGGTGGGAAAGGTCTTTCTTCATCCTGCTTATGACATTTAGCAGCCATCTGATTTCTGTCATCTTTTCCCCGTTGTGCAATAGGCAATTCATGTCTCCAAAAGGCTCCCCACGCATACATCAAGCACAGCTAACAAGGGAAAGGCCAAAGGCCCATTCAGAACTTCCTCGAATGCCGAGTTCCCCCCCTCCAGCCACCATTAACCTGATGATACCACAAGGCTCAGCCAGCAGGAGAGAAACAGGTTTAGCACATCTGACCTAATAGTTCACTAAACAATGTGCAAATTCTAACCAGCTGGGCTCGCAGCTTACTAATGACTAACTTTTGTTTCCCATTAAGTCCACACATGCACCTACTGTAAAATGCCAAAAGGTGGCATATCAGCCAAGCATCCTCAGACATTCCAGTCAGGGTAAACTACAACAGCCCTCTTCCATGGATGGCTTCCATCTCTCTTGCCATCTTCCATGAAAAACACCCCATAGAATCGTAGAATGGTTTGGGTTGGAAGGGACTTTAAAAACCACCCAGTTCCACTCCCTCGCCCTGGGCAGGGACACCTCCCACCAGACCAGGTTGCTCCAAGCCCCATCCAGCCTGGCCTTGGACCCCTCCAGGGATGGGGCAGCCACAGCTTCTCTGGGCAACCTGGGCCAGGCTCTCACCACCCTCACAGCAAAGACTTTCTTCCTGGTACCTAATCTAAATCTCCCCTCTTTCAGTTTTTTTTTCTTTTCAGCCATTACCCCTCATCCTATCACTCCCCTCCCTGATCCAGAGTCCCTCCCCATCTCTCCTGGAGCCCCTTGAGGGACTGGAAGGGGCTCTAAGGTCTCCCCGGAGCCTTCTCTTCTCCAGGCTGAACCCCCCCAACTCTCTCAACCTGTCCTCACAGCAGAGGGGCTCCAGCCCTCAGAGCATCTGGAGCACCTTTCCTTTGAGGAAAGGCTGAGAGAGTTGGGGTTGTTCAGCCTGGAGAAGAGAAGGCTCCTTCTCCCCAGCCCTGTAGCATCACAGGGCTCCACTTTTTCTTATGGCAGTGATTTTCATATCCAGTGCCTTTGGGTGACAACACACTTTGTGCTGATACAGATATTCTTGAACTGGACCCTCCTAAGCTCTGCAGACTAGATTCAGGTCACCTATTGTAGGCACATACGCAACTTGAACTTTGCAATGCCAGTAGATCGGGTGGTGGGTCCTTGACTCCAAGAAACAACGAAGAGAGGTAAGCACCTCCAAAAAATGAATTGCTGTGATGAACACATCTGCCTCTCTCCTCCGTGAGCAGACAAGCTGCTGTAGATCTGCAGCCAAGAGGTGATTCAGTGCTTCTGCATCTTGAGCTGGGAGGGGATCGGAGCTAAGCAAGGGAAAAACCTAGCATGGGACCATTCTGAATTTTCCCCTCTTTGATTTGTAGGTGACTATATTTAAATTTGGTCACGTGTTTTGTTCTTCAACAACACTGCTAATTGTGCAAATATACCAGTGGTCCCCTTTGCCAAAGGGAGTATCTGTTACTGCTCCACCCATTTGAGAAAGAAGCTCTCACCCTGTCTTTTCATCCTTGTTCCTGACAGAGTCCTTACTGCTGTAGATTCTCCATACTAAACTTACAAAATTTTTCCTCCCACCTCCTCCAGGGTTCTCTCAGTAACTGCCTTCCCTTCTCCTTAAAGGACAAGGGTCAATAAATCGAGATTGGTACGGATGAAAAGGTGTACAAGTCGTCAGGAGGGCAACATCCAGACGCCAGTTTTACAATGTGTTCCAGCCCTGATTTATCCAGGGTTTTAAAGTTTTAATGAGCTATTGCACAGTTCCTTTTAAACATTAATCGTTTAGACTTCTAATCATAATTCTCACTCCAGGTGAAGGAAGATGTTACTCTTGGAGGCTTCTCTGAGTGTTGCTCTGTGTGGAAACCAGGAGGGGGCAATGGAAGAGCTGAGTAACTGCTGTCACTTCTGCTCCCAGAGTCCCTACTGCAGCCCTCGGCGCTGTGAGGTGCTGTCTTTTTAACCTGCAGGGTTTAATCTAACTTTTGTCATTACTAACTACAGAAAGCCTGGACATTATACACCATAGCTTAAATAAATGAACTCCCTATATAGATTTCAAGCATCTTCTCTGCCATTTCCTCCTTATTGAAGATAAATTCACTCAAGACAAACCTGTGACTGAAAGTTCTTTGGATGGAGTCTGCCGGTGAACACAGTTGACCAAATAATGGATTTTTTTTTTTGCTCATTAGCAAAACACGAATGGAAACTTTCATTCTTGACCTGAACTGTTCCATTTTGACATAACAGAGCCAAGTTTCACCCCATTATTGAAAAGTGTTTTTTAAACCTGCAGAAATTTGTGAGGCAGCTCATGGAGCTAATGATGCAGTTCTCAGAGAAGAAAGATCGTGTAAAAACAGCTGTCTAAGCTGCAGCTCACCTTGACCTGCTACTTTTCTATTTTCACCTCAAGATTTTTATTCTTCCTTTTAAAAATAAAAGCACACAAGTGAAAATAGTTATCCCCTTTATTTAAACCCACATCTAATTAGAATATCTGTCAAAGTTTCCTCAGAATGTGTTGTGGGAAAGTAACTGACAGAGCTTTAAAAATGAATTAAAACCCTCTGAATGGCATTTAATGTGAATATCAGGAGATTTCAGTACCAGGGTACAAGACACATCTGCTGGTTCAAGCTTTGCTTATTCTACAGTCATAAATTTTGCACACAGAATACAAATGAATACAAGTTATGCACACTCACCCTTAATCTTGTAGTGGAGATTTCAGCCTTCAGAATGTCAGGGTCATACTTTGTGCTCGATGAGGAGCCTGAGAACACTTTTTTAAAAAGACAAAAAAGGACAAATATTAAACACATTTAAAACATTAATTAGTCCCTTCCTCAATGAATCCACATTGATATAAAACTACAAAGTGCAGAAAAGCATAATACTTAATAAAAAAAATCCCTTCATAGAGTAGTCAGCATTGCAGGATGTCAACAATTTATGAATAATCAAAATTTCCCCCCTTTTTTTCCCCTAACTGTATTTGGTATCTTTCCTCCTTCCCTTATCCCAGGATCCTAAAGTAGCACCTCATTCTCCCTGGCTTTCTGTCCCTTCCTTTCTGTTCCCATTCTTCCAGCTGAGCCATCCTGCATTCACCTCTTCCTGGAAGTAGTAATTTCTAAGGACATTTCTGGAAAGTAGAAGATTTCTTCAGAAGCCTCAGCAGTCTCCCGTTCAGCTGGTCCACAGTTCAACATGTTACTTTTATCCCACTACATACTTCCAAGAGAGATGTTTGGCCAACAAGAAGCCTCTGACAGCATTTTACTGCATGCCAATTCCTTGCCCCACATTGGAACGTGTATCTCCACCCCTGATCACACCACACAGGCTGCAAAATTATTGTATGCTATTTTCATAAAGCAGCAACAAATTCCTTTCTTGGGCTATTGCAGACATTTGCCAACACAGTGGGGTCACTGCAGCGTGTAGCCACAAAGTGCAAGAGATCCTATTTATTTTCAACCTAGATTTGGCAGAATTTTCATTCTGACAAACTGCATGACAAAATAGATTTTAGAGCCAACTGCTCTAAACTGCAGCTCAAAGGAGTTCAATTGTACCAGAGAGAAGAGGGCTTTCTCTCCAGCAGAATATCTTTATACTAGATAAAATTAAAAAAAAAAGGAGGGATACTCTCTCTAAAAAAGCCAGAGTACAAGGTGTTCATAGCAAACCTTGAAAACCCATCCTAAAGAGAAACAGGATCCCCTGCGAGGCACAGATCAAAGAAGTTACATTGCATTTTCTGCTGTACTTACGGCTTGTACGAGAGCTTGATTTTTCTTTGTAGGCATCATTCAACCGCACGTACTCGTCCAGCGCAAGTGCCAGCCTCTGTTCTTTCACCTGGTACAGTTCTTTCTGGGTACTGAGAGCATCCTGGGCTATCGTAAGATAATCTTTTAACATTCTCTCTTGTTCTTGCCTCCATTGTTTCCTGGGATCTTCTATTTGTGTTGTTTCTTTATAGGAGAAAAAGAAGGGATATAAAGAGACCTCTGCTGAAATCTGTTGACAACTAAATTGTTTCTTCGCCTGTAATAGAAGCCTAAACTATAAATTGCCTTTGGTTACTAAGCAGACACTCAATTTTATTTAAGTTTTTCTTTGCTGCAATAGTGTGTGTATAAAAGGGATATAAGGATATAAGTGTGTATATAAGGGATCAATTGCAAAATTAGGATACAATAGGTAAATGTTTACGTAGATCATTCCCACATCTTCAACCTTGAAATAATAACATCTTAAAACTCAAGAAAAAAACGTTGGTTTTGCAGAGTATTTGGAAATAACTGGATAAATAAAGTCTTTCAATGACATCTTAAAATTGAATGTATTTCTGTACAAAAATGAAAAGTCATCTTAGCTATTACATTTTTTTCAACCCCCCTCCTCCCCACTTCATTAATTTTTACAGCCATATGTTATTCATGTTTTATAGTGGTTATCTCTCTCCTTTCCCTCTACAAAAACAGTTTTCCCTTTTCCCCTGTGACTGAACTAACAGATCATTAACTCTCTGGATCATCTCACCTGACTCTATCCCTATCCCTGCCTGGTGCCAGAGCCAAGAGACAACTTTCTTTTACAGTCCACAGGAGAGGGCTGCCCTCAAAGGGGATGTCACTCCATCAAAGATGGGTGCCCAAGAGCCATGGGACCAAACTGCCTTCTTGAGGTGGCTGCTTCTTCCCACTGATGACCCAGGTAATATAATCAAATAGGCTGGAAACAGGCCATTAATTCACAAAGGGCTACCATTCTACCTCCAGCAGCCACCCAGAAGACAAGACTTGCACAAAATGTGCAGACAAAAGCACTATGTCATGCCTAATGCTATCTATTAAGAAAGTATGTGATGAGCTCATGCTAATTGTAGGTTTTAAGATTTTTTTTTTTAAATGTAAACATGAAAAGAGGAAGAGTTAGGCTGAACATTCAATCATCATTAATATTTCCTGACTTAGTTTGCTGTACAATGAATATTCTTCCTTTAAAGTTCGACTAAGTATAAAAACCTTCTCACGAGACACAGACATGAAAAGTTTGAAAACTAAATGTATATGGGCACCACACTACATTTTCTTTGTGAGTTACATGCTATAGATCTACAGAGACAAAAAGTAACATTCAGTACCGAAGTATTTAGTGCAAAGCACTTACTTCAGAATTTTTCTGCAAAAAGGAGGAGGAAAGTTTATAGTCTGTGTTAGATTTCTGCCACTTTAGTTCTCTGAATTGCTCTACAGTGAGAATCAATGCCGGGGGGGGGGGGGGGCGGGGAGGGGGGAATT